TTTGGACAAAACTCAGCAACACTTTTTCGTGCGGCTGCTGATAAAAACAGGATGGCCAACATGATTGCCAATGTCCGATAACTGATATGACACAAGAAGAAGAAGAGCCTATATTTGGGTGGCTCCATGTTTGCAACTGAAGCATCGCATTTTCTTAACCGTACACCTGCAGACATCACAGTAGTCCTATTTGGAAGGCATGCTCCCCTAGGATTGCCTCACCTAAGGAATTAGGGACCCTGGCCTGCAAAGTTCCCCTCAGGATGGCATGAGGGGTTCACCGGCTTTTGAACAGTTTTTAAACATTTTTATTTTTTTATTTTTTTAATGTATCGATGGTGGTTTAAACCACATGATCTTCTCTATTTCCATAGAGAAGAGAGCAGAATATCTAAGATACAGGTCGTCCTTGACTTACAACAGTTCATTTAGTGACTGTTCAAAGTTATAACTTCACTGAAAAAAGGGACTTACTGACCGTTTTTCACGCTTATGACCATTGCAGCATCCCCTCCCCATGGCCATGTGATCAAAATCCAGATACTTGGCAACTGACTCATATTTGTGACGGTGGCAGTGTCCCCAGGGGTCGTGTGATCCGTTTTTGCGACCTTCTGACAATCAAAGCCCCAGGGGAAGCCAGGTTCACTTAACAACCGTGTTACTATCTTAACAACTACAGCAATTCACTTAACAAACATGGCAAGAAGGGTCGTAAAATGGGGCAAAACTCGCTTAATGCCTGTCTCTCTTAGCAACATAAATTTGGGGCTCCATTGTGATCGTACGTCGAGGGCGACTTGCAGTTCTGATCCTCTCCCCCCTCAGAGATTCGCACTGAGCACTCAAGGAGTTGCACACCAGTTTAACCATCTCTTAATCATCTGCTTGAACTTGAAAATGCATTTTTTCATAGAGATGATGTCATGCATTAGGCATCAGCCACGATAAATACAAAACGTGTGACTTCTTGCTCTCTCTGTGCTAATAATTACAGTCATTATCCATGTCTATATAGTAGAACGTCTCAGTGGACCTGATACTTCCAAATAGATGCGCATGGAATTGTACTCTTTTATTGCCCCCTCCAAAGCTGCTCTCTATTTTGACTGATTAGTCACCTAATTAAAGCAATTGCTTCTAGTAGTTGTTCTTTCCCCCCGAGTTTAGAATCAGATTGACACCTTACAATTTTTCTCCTTCTGTGTTCTGTGAATTTAATAGCCGTCTGATGCCTCCTTGTTTGTTTCTAGGCTTTTCCATATTAGGAAGAAAAAAAAACCACCTCCTGTTAAATAGCTGTGGGTTAAGTCTTTAAAAATTCAAAAGCAGGATGAGAACAGCAGCCAGAGTAAAAATGGAAAGGTTTGTGAAACTCCCCAAAAGTTCAGTTTTCTAAGGATGAAATCTAAGGATTTCAGATTTCATTCCGTTAAATTTGTAGGCTCTGCAACAAATATTCAATTTTCAACAGAGCTGTGTACACATAGTCCTTGACTTACAACAGTTTGTTCAAAGTTACAACGGCACTGAAAAAATGTGACTTACAGCCATTTTTCACAATTACAACCTCTGCAGCATCCCCAGGATCATGGGATCAAAATTCCGATGCTTGGGATATGGATTGTTTATGAATATTGAATGTAATTAAGATATGTATAAGCTAAAAGTTATTGATAAATGTAATAATGATGTTTTTATTGAGTTGATATAATTAGAAATGTCCTAGTTTGAATACAAAACAGTAAATGTTAAAGGAAAAAGAGAAGAAATATCTGATATTGTAACCTGAGATTTGCATTAAAGATTTTGTTATTGAACTATTGATTAACCCAGTCACCACGTTGCTTTTTAAATACTCAGATGTAAAATTGGAAAATTAATAAAATGTTATTAAAAAAATTCCCACGCTTGACAACTGGTTCATATGTATGTCCTGTTGCTGGGTCCCAAGATCACGTGATCCCCTTTTGCAATCTTCTGACAAGCAAAGTCAATGGGGAAGCCAGATTCACTTAACAGCCAGATTACTAATTTATCATCTGCAGTGATTCACTGTGGCAAGAAAGGTTGTAAAATGGGACAAAATAAATGTTTCACTTAATAACAGACATTTTGGGCTCAACTGTGGCCGTAAGATTGAGGCTTACCTGTATTCACTGATTCCCAGGGTGGTTATCAGCGAGAGCTGGCCCTAAACGTAGTTACCTTCCCTTGAAGCAACAAGCAACATCAAAGAGAGGTTTCTACAATCATCAACTGAATGAATTGTGCCTGTGCACAGCTGTTGTGATTACATTATGTTCACCGTTCTCTCATTTCACTTTTTTTTTTTGGTTTGGCCTTCTCATTGTGGTTTGGCTGTTGCCGTAAACACCTAACGTTTCGCAAACTGACTCTTACCCATGTATAGTGCATGCCAATTAAACAGTTTCTCCCTGATGAAGGATTAAAGCTAGATCTCCAGTATAATTTCCCACCAGGTAGGAAATCTGTACCTCTCCAGATGTCATTTGACTCTGCCTCTACTTAGCCTTATTCCAGATGGCAAGTCATTGGGGATTATGGAACAGTAGCCCAATGTTTTCTTGAATTGTATATAGATGTTATCTCTCTTCTCTAAAGATTTGGGATGAAGTAGAAAGGAGCAATTTTCAACCATCAGGACTAAACATTGGACATTTGCAGGACACCTCTGTGTTATAATTTGAAACAAAATGCACCAAGGAGGCCTGAACAAATTTTTTAATTTACCTAGGAATGTTTCAGTTTATTTCCACTTATGGCATCTGGAGAGATTCCACATTTTAAAATTCAAAGGGAACCTCATTTCTGTGCATGTTGGTAGGTCAAAGCAAGTGTAATTGAATTTTAATCCGGGAAGCACAGATTTGTTTTTGGGTTCAGCTGCTGAAATTCCCTGAGTTTTATTTCATTTGCAAGTCTTTATTAAAGCACCCACATTTAAAACAGCAGTCCTTCCCTAGTCCACCGTTGAATGTGGGTTAATTTCAAATCTCTTCAGGATACTTGGGGTTATGAATAACCACCAAAATAGTAGCCAGATTATATTGTAAATCAGGAAGTTAGGGCAAGTGAGAGATAAAATTAAGGTAGCTTAGAAGATCAAGGAAGCCTTGATCTGAAAAATACCTAATATAGAAGAACAACAAGGACCCAAGAAGGAGAATCAAGAAGATAGTGAAACTTTTGGAAACCAAGTTGAGTGAAGTATTGCTAAATTGATTAAGATGAAGAAGTAATTCACATTCTAATCAATACTTCTTCATAGAAGTATGAATTGAGAAAATTTTCATCTTACGAAATTGGGAGAGACATGGAATTCTAAAGGCAGAAAACAATCCAGGTGTTGAAATTTCGATATTATTATTTCTTAACCACTTTCAATGAATCTTGGTATAAAGAAAACCTCTGGATGATCTTGTGGCTATGAAACAGCCCGGGAATTGTACTGTACAAAGAAGTTTTGTACTGCTGTTGGTTATAAGTGTTATAAAAAGAATTATTAAACATTACAGTTCATTTAGTGACCACTCAAAGTTACAACAGTGACTTGTAGCCATTTTTCACACAACCGTTACAACCTCTCCATGGTCACGTGATTTACATTTGGATGCTTGACAACAGGATCATATTTATGATGGCTGCAGTGTCCCAGGATCATGTGATCATCTTTTGTGACCTTCTGGCAAGCAAAGTCAATGGGGAAGCCAGATTCACTTAACAACTGTGTTACTAACTTAACAACTGCAGTAATTCACTTAACTGTGGCTAGAAAGGTCATAAAATGGGGCAAAATTCACTTAACAAATGTCTCACTTAGCAACACAAACTTTGGGCTCATTTGTGGTCATACGTTGAGGACTACTTGTACAAACACTCACTGCACCTAAGTACGAAATATCATCACACACACATACACCGGTGCATGAATGGTGGAAAGTGGGTAAGGAAATAATTGGCCAACAAGCATTTTCTGACACACTAGAAGGAGATTTAGGAGGCTATAGAATAGTTGACTTTATTCCTGCTTCATTGAGGATGATGAAGAGCAAATACTAGTATCTACACCAATGTTTTTGATAAGGGAATCCGAAAAACTGAAATTCAAAACAGAATCATGAAATGATGATATAGACTTCATTAATAAATTAAAAATTAACATATTTTCTTGGTTAAGATAATGTATTACAGAACTTTTTAAGGCCTATGTTTATTATTAATTGAAATTATTAATTTATTGGATTCATATCCCACCTTTCCTCCAAGAGCTCAAGACCGTATACACAGAGTAACCTCCTCTGTTTTTTAAAATGTCTTTCTAATTAAAGTTTCTCGGTTGTTCCTAAAATCAGTCAGTTTAATATCAAGTTTGGGAAAAACAGGAGCGATGCAGTGGCTCAGTGATTAAGACACTGGGCTTGTCAACTGGAAAACTGGCAGCCCAGGTTCAAGACCTGAGCACCACAGGACGGGGTGAGCTCCCATCCTTGCCTCAGCTCCTGCCCAACTAGCAGTTCGAAAACATGCAAATGCAAGTAGATAAATAGGCACCACTTTGGTGGGAAGATAACTGCACTCTGTGATATCATGCCTTGAAATAGAAATGAAAACCACCCTTTATCATCATCATTACTAGTGGAGTAAAATGCGCAGGGACTTCTTGGGAAAAACAACCAGATGGAAAAAGGAAAGTACTGTAGACCAGAGGTCCCCAACCTTGGCAACTTTAAGATTTGTGGACTTCAACTCCCAGAATTCCTCAGCCAGCTTGGCTGGTTGAGGAATTCTGGGAGTTGAAGTCCACAAGTCTTAAAGTTGCCAAGGTTGGAGACCCCTGCTGTAGAGGCTGCCCCATTTAATATCTACACATTTGTAAAACACGATTCAAGTGCTAAAGTAATCATGTCAAATCTGTGAGTTTCCAACTCCTATTGTGCATCTTGGTGAACCCCAAAATTCTTTTCTTTCTTCAACAGACGCCATCATTGTCCTCATCTGCCAACCAGGCTCTTTGACACGAACGAGAAGCCATGTCGTCTTTCTGAGTATATGGAGAAATACCCCCTTTATCCCAACATTCTACCTAGGGAATCATACAAGCCCAGCACAGAGTTCCAGAAGCAGCCAGTGCCAATGGAAGCCCTTTCAACAACCAAGTAAGACAACAGAAATGGAAGCAAAGGAAAGGCTACCAGATCTATCCTGCAGCTATCCAAATAACCACCAGGTGGGAGCAAAGAGAGTTCTCTGTGTAATGGCTGTCATCTAGTGGTCATTTGAACTGCAGAATAGTAGCTTCAAAAGAAGGGCTGTTAAAGGCCAAAGATTGTGGACTTGAATGCATACTTTGTATATATATGTATTTGGGTGGGTGGGTGGGTGGGTGGAGGGATAATGTTGCAATGCATCCTTCTTTTTCCCAGATCTGGATGATAACAGTAGGTTTCATTATTATCTGGATGCTTCTGGATGAGGTCTTTAACTGTATATTTGGGCAGATGCCTTCATGAAATATGAGGAATGAATGTAGATGTAATTGCCTCTAACTTTGTAAACCGATTGTGTTTTCCTATTGCTTCTTTGCCAATAGGAAAGAAAAGAATGATTACACAAATCCATTTAATTGGGGTTGTCCCTCTGAAAGAATTCCTGCCTGAATGGGAAACCAGAGTTGAGGAATAGTCAAGGCCATCCTCTTTCTTATAACTTTGTTTGTCTTAACCATCACCTATAACCTTCCAAGCCATTTTCCTGTACTACCTGCTGAGTAAACTTGGATGCTCCACAACTGAGGCACCCACAACAGGTTCACATGCTGTCTTTGTACACCAGTGGCATAAACAACTAAAAGTAGCCTGAGTGCTTTTTCATGCAATGTTTTTGTACTGTACTGTTTTTGTAGTTTAGTGTACTGTACTGTTTTTGTAGTTTAGTGCCTCTCTCTACTTAGCTAAAGCATTTTATAAGAAAGTACTTTTATTCACTACTGTCAGTAGACAATTAAAAAAACTATTGCCAATAGACCTTGAGGAATAAAAATGTTAATCTGTCCTTCACAAAATCCTGTAATCCTTAAACTGACTAAGAGCCAAACAATTAACTAAATAAAAAGGTTTTTTAAAATGTGTTATGCCCGCATTTGTTGATTGATGGAGTACAGTTATATCATCACAATTCAAGCAATATTACTGGCATCTTTGCCCTATTGTACATTTGCTGAAAAGCTTCCTGCAATACAGAACGTATCCATTGGTAAGTTCTGCTGCTTTGTCTTCCTAAAGTGGAAAGATTATGTCACAATTTTTTTAAAAAATGTATCTGTCAGAAATAATGCAACAATTTGAAAGGTAACAGTATCTCTGTTAAACAAAAAGAAAATTAACAGCTGGAACTTTTCCAGTATGAGATATGCAGGATTCATGTGAATTTAATAAGCAACATTCTGGTAGGTTTAGACTTAGTTATGCTTAAAGTAGAGTCATTAAAATCTATGGGATGGCTTGGAAACATGTCAAATTGTTTTCAGTAGGACTGTTTTAAGTTAGGCACGCTAAGACTGGATCCAGTTTTATCTGTATATTACAAGCTATTCATTTAATGAGAGCTGTTGATGTTTTTACAGGAGAGATTACATCCCACATGAAGTCTTCCGTATTAAACAGAAAGCTCCTGATCAATATGTCAAGAAAGATGAATGTATGGATCTACAGTCTACATATAGACAAGACTATAACCCATACAATGTATCTCGAGTGCCTCCTTGCTTGCCCCAGGAACAAAATTATTCTTCTGCTGAGAAGATGAGCGCAGTTCCAACATATAAAAGTAAGAGTTGAAAGAATAATTAGAAATATTTTAAATGCATTAAGCATCAATTTTTCTCAGTAACCTCCCAAATGGGAATAATTATCCCACTTTGCAAGTTGGCATGTTTTTAAGGGGTACTTATAAGTGCCTTGATGCATCTTTTTTGCCCCTTAAACTTATGTCCTCTCGAAATTTCTGGAAGTTATGATCTTGTCCCTTCTCAGGGTCTCTAAGGAAGTGCAAATGCTAAAGAAAGACCCTCACACAAATCACATGTAGTGGTTTCCCCCCCCCCCATCCTCTTCCTTGGTGTTCTATGGTGTATAACTTTTTTGGGCCATTGGAGGTACTTTGGAAGAGATGTGAGTGAAGTAATGGGGAATTGGCTAAGTGTGGTCAAAGGAGACCTACATCAACGATTAAGGAGGAAAAGAAATCCGTTCTTGTAGGTCAATCATCAGGATGTAATGGAGCCCATTCCGTAGGTCTTAATCACAAGAAGGTTGCCTGTTAGTTGAGCACATCCATAGCAAGTATGAAAGAGAAAGCAGGATCAGATCAATCCCGTTTGCTCGTTCAGCAGAACTAGGAGTCTGCAAACTCTTCCGCATGATAACTTTGTCCAAACAATCGGATCTTAGTGAGGGCACACAGACGCTGTTACTCTTCCTTTACAATGACAAAAATGAGGATAAGCAACTCCTGTTCTCCCTTGACATGTATCAGATACACATAACATCTGGACAGTCTTATTATCTCAGATGTGTGGATTGACATAAATCTATTACTCTATCAATGGGCTTTAATAATATGATAGGAGCCATATGTAAGTCTCGGTCAAAGGTCTGCACTATCTACAACAGTCTTCAGCTGAGGATTGAAAGAGCTCTGATAAAACGCAGCTTTACCACATTTGGTTGCAATTTGCAAGATTTTTTTTCCAAAATATCCTGCAAACGGAAACCTTCTTCAAATAATTGGTCCTACAATCTTATTCCATACTGTAGTGATTCATCCCTTAAGCTCACCAGTTTTCAAGGCTACGACAAAGCCAGTGATCTTTCATATCCAGGCTTTATAGGATTGCCTATAAGGAGAATCAGATCTCCTTTAAAACCACTCAAGGAATACAGCCTATGCATGCATGAGCTGTTTCCTCCTCAATTGTTCCTATGAGCACATGTGCATCCATTGAAATGAATGGGATCCCACTTACAACCAAGAGGAGTCCACAGGTCCGGCTCAGGGGGAACGCGATAGAATTAGAAGCTGTGTACAAAATATCAAGTTGCACACACAATGGTGCCACACTGCAGGCTCAGGGAGGAATACGTTAGAAGATTGAAAAGAAGTTATATTACAGTGAATGGGCCACAACTTTACAGCATTGTTCACTATTGTTTTAGTTTATTCTGACCCCTTTCTTGGTTATACAATAGGGACTCAATGCCAAGGATTTTGCGTAGGATTGTCACTAACCTTCCTACTCAGAAATCCCTAATAAGAGAACACAGCTGTAAAATTGTTGGGCCATATATTATGAACAGAATGTTTCTGATCAGGTGTACCTGCTTCTCATTTGTTAAGTGTCTTATGAACCAATACTTCCAGTTTTGTCTTATGAACCAATACTTCCAGTTTTCCTTGTTCTTATGGCTTATTTTTCAAGTGGGGAAACTATGAGGTGGCGCAGCAGTTAGAGTGCAGTACTGCAGGCCACTTTAGCTGACTGTGTTCAGCAGGTCAGCAGTTCAAATCTCACCGGCTCAAGGTTGACTCAGCCTTCCATCCTTCCGGGGTAGGTAAAATGAGGACCCAGATTGTTGGGGGCAATGTAAATATATATATACATTGCTTACTGGTGTACACCGCTTAGAGAGTGCTTGCACTTAAAGCGGTATATAAGTCTCATAAATAAATAAATAAAATAAAATAAAATAAAATAAAATGTCTGGTTTAAGACCAGGCATGGGAAACCTAAGGCCTTCCAAGGACATTAAGGCCATTTCTTTCAGAATCCCCAGGCAGTCAGTGGGGTCAGGGTGCCTGGCAATGAGGGGGGGTTAGAAGCCTACAACATCCGAAAGGCCACCATATCCCCACTCTGCTGTTCCGCATTTTCTCCAACGTGATCTATCTTATAGTCTTGTTTTCATGATCTATCAAGCTGTGCTTTTCAATTTTTTTTTTAACCTAGCATTTTCCTGGTAAGTAACCTCTTTTTTCAGATCAGCCCTGTTCTGATGCATTGATGGCGACTGAAAGTGACTCACTGCCTTACTGCCAGAGCCTGATATCATGGGCTCAGAATAAATGACCGGCCCAAAGTCACCCAGATGGCTTACATATTTAAGCAGGACTAGAACTCACAGTCTCCTGGTTTTTAGCCTGGTACCTTAATGGAATTTGTTGTCCCCCCCCTTTTTTTTTAGAATACCTACTGCAGTTTTTTCTGTTTTTAGTATAAGTTGCAAGAATTCAAATTTCTCCTCCCTTCCTGAGTCAAGAACATTTAAATGTTGCATGTCAATTCTTATGTATGATCATTGTGGTCTATACGCAACCTGGTCTACCATTTCAAACGTTTTATCTCCTGCAGTATATTCTAAATCAGTGTTTTACAAACCTGACGACTTGCATGGACTTCAGTTCCCAGAATTCTACCCACCCACCCCCAGCATGTTCTTGACCAAACCTATTGCATGGCAATCAAAAGAGATGCATAGATACTTCCTCAATTTAACTTCACTCCTAATAATTATATGAATGCAAAGGGGTTTGCCCATGTCTTCTTCCAAAATGTTTTTTTTAACTTCCTTTTGCCTGCAGTCCTAGGATTTACTACTGGTTCAATCTTGCTTACAGCCTGGAAATTTGGAATAGAATAGAAGATAATAGAAAATAGAAGATGATAGAAGATAGAAGATAGAAGATAAAATAGAATAGAATAGAATAGAATAGAAAAATGGGCTATAATAAGTGTAGTATTAAGAAAAATTAATCTAAGAATATTAAACATGATAGACTCATTACTAAGCAGGATGAGGTGCCTGTAAGTGATATGATAAAATATCTGAATTCTTTGCAGCTTTGCAGTGCATTGTTTTAGTTTTTTTCATTAACACAGAGCTCTTTCTCCAGATAGGGAGATAATCTAATTTTAGAGTTCCTTTGACAATGCTAATGACTGCCTGGGCCATGTAATGCATGGTTTCACTTCAATGTCTTGCTTTCTTCTGTGGTGCCCCAATTTTTCAAAATCCTGGTACAGGAAGCCACTATTACTTCTTGCAGGAGACTTTTAAAGGACACTAAATTCACAAACCTCACTTTCTAATCAGTTTCGGAAATTGCTTATTAGCTACATCTAAGCAATTAGAGACCTTTGAACTGACAATTTTGAAAATGCCAGGTGAGTCTACTTTCAACCCTGAATGAAAGAAAATTTTAACCGTAATGTTCAGAATTTAAAGAATCTAAAATAAACAGCAAAAAGCTAAATAAGGTCTTGATCTTAAGAGAGTTATAAACAGACTTAGGGTACAGATAAAATTGGAGCATTAAAATTCTTACAGTAAGATTTTGGAATTAACAAGAAACAACTGCTCATGGAAAATAGATTGTGTTTTGGTTTTTACAAGACAAAACAAAAATAAATAATTTCATGAATTCAAAAACTGGATACTAGAGGGAATTAAAGTTTTTAGGTACAGGAAAATATGCTAAATAGGAAGAATAAATTTTTATCTGAAAAGACGAGGTAGTATCAAAAGAAGTCTACAACTGAAAGGCCAAGAGAATGATTTAGAAAAATGTTTCACTAGAATATGCAAAAGAAAGTGGCTGAGGTTTTAAAGTGAAAAAGTGAAATACAAATGACAAACCAAGAAAGAAACCTGATAATTTTTTTATAGTGGATTTACAAAACAGGTTTGTTAAAGCCTTGAATAATTCTGAGCAATAGGACAAAGAAGAAATGAAAAGACATCAAATTCTTTGACTGTATTTGAGCAAACTAAAGATTAAGACTGTTAGAAGTAAAAGGAAGAAATATACAGTTGGTTTATTTGATCAAGGTTAAAACAAGATATGAAATTATTTCTGCTAACCCTTTATGGAATTTCTGCTGACTTCAGGATTGAAAAAATGAAGTTTTTATGGATTTGTTCATAGCTGGGATGTGGGATGAAGAGATAAATGTTTGTATCCTTAAAGAGAGTGGAGTCAGTAAATTTGTTTGCATTTGTTGTGATGAAGGCTGGAAATCTTTATACATTTCTTTTCTCTTTATTATATTTTTATTATTTTTCCTTCTTTCTCTTTTTTCTTGCCCTTTTTACTTCTTACTAGTCTCTTTTCTTTTTAAAAGTTTAGTTTGCATTAGATTTATTACTGCAATCCAAATTCTTAATAAAATTATATATGTAGAAAAAGATTTCAATTGACAACAGAATCCAGAGGATTTGAATCCCATCTTTGAAGCAATGAACAAGAACACAAGAATCTCTGACTTTTTCCGGCTTCTTTGTAGAAGTCTGAACTAACCTTCAGTTCAATGCTTAAGAAGGAGAAGAGATGTTATGTGAGACATTTCCCTAGTTTCATTCAGGAGAAGATAAAATAAGGCTACTAGATCTGAATGACAAAACTACAAAAACCTTTCACCATCTTCTAGTTACATGTTGTTTTCCAGGCCAGAATAGTAAACCTGAAAAGAGCAAATTTCCATATGCTTGAAAGGAAATTGCTTTTGCAGTTTAAGATGTGCAATGAAAAGAAGCTATGTAGGAATTATATTAGGATTAGTGGCTTTGGATACACAAAGTACAAGTTCCAGATTCCTTGAACTGCCCTTAAAATGGATCCATGAATAGAATGTCTCCAAGGCTATAGTCATCTTGCTTTTTCATTATGAAGATGCCATCTACCTTTCCAGATTCTACTTAGAGATGCTTGATGGGACTGTACCCAAATCTTACACCTATGCTGGCAATGGGCTTTTTCAGGATCACCTCTAAGTTAGTGTTGACACCTGGGCACTCCTTGGGAAAGTCCCCACAGTTTTCTTGGCATAGTTTTTCAGAAGTGGTTCACACTTGCCTGCTTCCTAGGACCCAGAGAGAGGGACTGGTCCAAGGTCACCCAGCTGACTTTATGCCTATGACAGGACTAGGACTTAGGGTTTCATGGTTTCTAGCTGAAGTCTTAACCACTATAACAAAGTGGCTCTCTGGCAATACGATAGTAACATAATGTTAATACTCCAAAATTAAAAAATAACAAAATGATGTGTTTATAGTTGTCTGATTCCATATTCATTCCATTAACAATTCTCATAACTCATCTTTATATGGTTTATTGTTAAATAATCATTTGCCATCATTCCAATAGCCAAAGAACTGTTTTCATTTTTTCCCCTGTCTTATGTTTGCTTGACTGCAGTAAATTGCATTTTATTAGAATGGAGGCAGGAATGTTTGAGAGTAATGATAGCCTCTTTAATCACATCTGCTTACATTTCAGCTGATTACGTGGCATGGAATCAGCCTAAAAGAGAGATGATTAAGCCAGATAACAGTTACCGTCCACCAGAAAAAAAATTTGATCACAGGACCACTAACCAGGATGCTTACCAATACAAAGGGCTGGTCACCACCAAGAACTATAAGCCTGTAAGGCCTCTTCACATCTCAAAAATCCCCTTGGAGAGCATGACCAATTATAAGTTGAATTATGTGGCTCACCCCATTCCAAAGCGCTTCGTCCATACACAAGAGCCATTCAAGAGCTGTGAGGTCCCATTTGATGGGCTCACTACCCACAACCTTTCTTACAAAGGGTTAGCAGGAGAGCCAGCAAAGTCCGCAAAACCAGATTATGTCAGGCCAGATGCAGGCAATTTTATGGGCACTACTGAATTCAAGGAGAAGTTCTTAGCGTGGCCAGCAGCCGCTCGCTTCACCAGAAAGCCGGCAGTTTACACTCCTCCTAAAGAGAAGATGGACCTCCAGACATCAGCACAGATCCACTACGGAGATCCTCATGGGCGCCCAGCAACATCATGTAAACCCTTGGGCCGGGTCGTCGAATACACAGAACCCTTTAGCCACTGTTCCACTATGAAGGAAGACTTCCAGCACTGGCACGCTGAAAGACCCAAGCCCATCGTGCCTCGTTCAGAGCTCACCATGTCTTCCGAGCCCATGGACCTGATGACCTCCTTCCAAACTCATTACGTTCCTCACCCGCTCCCTTCCATAAAGAGCTTCCGGCCCCGCTTGCCAGTGGCCAGACCTCATGTGCCATTTGCTGAGACTACCACCTATGGCACAAGTTATACGGCAAAGGAAGTGCATATATGTCCTGCCTCTTTCAAAGAGCCGCCTGGTTACGTTTTCGATAAGGTCGATGAAGCTGGCCATAGGCGGTTTCGTCCAACAACCGTGATGCAATCCCGACGTGCATCAAACTCAAAGCTTGCTGATTACAGAGGCCACTCTAGCAGCCAGCTAAATCACAGAGGTCTTCAAGATATAAGGTTGAAAGCTTGAGGGTTCTCAGCCTGCTTTGGAACAGACTGATGATTCTATTCTGTAATGAATGTGATTAATATAATCTTCATTTCCTTGGGACTGACCCTTTCTCGGGGAACTGGAAAAAAAATAATGTTCTAGAAAAGCAAAATGGAGCATCTTTGGTTCTGTTATTGAGCGCTCTTTTTTTTAAAGTTTTATAACCTTCAATTGGACAAAATTGGAGGTATAGGGCAATGAGTTATGAACCAAGGTAACTTAAATGGGCTAACTTACAGACTGCCAGAAGCCATGACTCCCATGGGAATGAAATTTGGAGAAATTGTGACTTTAGCACTGCTGCACTGCTGTCACTTCAAAACTGCTGCCATCCTGCCACAATCATGTCATCCTGATTTCCAACACTCCCTGAAGATTTCCCAGAAGACAGCAGGGAAGCTGGCAAGAGCTGTAAAGTTGACTGCTGATGCTTCCTGCAACCTTCCCACCAGTTAACTCTTTGCTTGTGGGAAGCTTGCAGGGAGAAAGTCAATGTGGAAGCCAGCAGGGAAGGTTGCAAGTTGCTCAGGTATGTCTGCCTTAACCATGCAACTTCCCAAGTCTCTCCATGCTTGCACATTGGCTACTTGCACAATCTCTTGCTCCCTCCTCTACCTGGCTGCCAGTCACTTACTTGCCTGCTGGCTTTGGACTTGGAACTGCCTGCTGGTTTTATGATCCTTATCTCAATGGAACCTGATGTGGCAGGAAGGAGGGAAGAAAGGAGAAATGTGGAAGGAGGGAGGGAAGGAAGGAAAGAAGAAGAGGGAGGAAGAGGGGGAAGAAAGCAAAGGGGAGAATTAATGAATGAGAGGGATGAATGTATGTATGTATGTATGTATGTATGGATAGATGGATGGGTGAATGGGTGAATGGAGGAAGGAAGGAAGGAAGGAAGGAAGGAAGGAAGGAAGGGAGGGAGGGAGGGAGGGAGGGAGGGAGGGAGGGAGGGAGGAAGATTTTGAATGCAGGTTGCCAACTTTCCACAAGGAAACTCAATGAGGAAGTCAACAGTAAGTCACTCCCACTGATTTTTTTTTTGCCCACCTCTAGTGACTCTGTTTCTCTGTTTAGATAAGTAAGTAACTCTGAAACAAAAACCCAATGGCTAATGGGTTGTCTAGTATTAGTTACAGATGAAATTGTGGCCTTTATGCTGATTTCTCCCATCTGTTGGAATACCCTGCTAAGTAAGATTGGCCAGTAAGTCATTCCCTTTTAAGGAACATTTAAGGACTTGCTTCCTGCTGAGATCAAATCAAAATTGATAAATATGATCAAAAATCATTCACGGCTGCTGAGGCTGTGAATATCTTGCTGGCTATTTTATTCTTTTGAGTTTCTAAATGGAATTTTAATTATGTTGTTCGTTGTGCTTTAATTGAATTTCCGTATTGATTTTACTTTTGTGGCAAGTCATTTTGTGCCTCTTTCCGGTGGCAGGAGATAAAGTCACTAATCAACAAACGCACACTATGCGAATGCATGGATAATACCAAGAGGCCTCCTTTGCTAAAAACAACACCACCCAGCTAATAAAAAGAGGCTTGAAAGAAGCTCTTGTATCCCAGGGGCACAAACTGAATGCCCACAGTTCCTTAAAGGTCTTTTTTAACTAGCAAATTTGCAATTGCCTTTTCTTGATTTTTTTTTTAAAAGCCTCCAGTGCAGCGGTTCTCAACCTATGGGTCGCGACCCCATTTGGGGTCCATCGACTGTTTCACGGGGGTCGCCAAGCAAGGTTCTCTGCCATTTTTTCCCCTTTTCCGGCGGGTGCCTTACCTTCCTTGGGCTGGGCCAGCCGGTGGCCCAGCCAGTGGTCGGCCTGTTCTGTTCCTGCCACTTGCCAGCTACGCCTCGGCCGGCACAGGGGGCGGCACCACACATGTGCGGCGTTCCTGTGCAGGGAAAGTCCTTGACTTACGCCCGGTTGGGTAGTCCTTGACTTACGACCAGTTTAGTCCTCGACTTATGATCGGTTTAGTCCTCAGCTTAGGACCGGTTGGGGGTCACGGCATTAAAAAGGTTGAGAACTACTGCTCCAGTGGAACGTGAGAGAAACTGAAGCCAGCAAACCCATAAATGTTTCACTAATTAAACTGTTATAAATAAATATCTGGCAATCTTGCAGGATCTTTCCTTAAGCTAATAATATGGGCTTAATAAATCGCTTGGGGGAAGGATCGGAGGAAAGGATCAGATTTTAGGGACGCCCAGTCCCAATTAATCCTTAGGCCAAGCACAGGAAGATTCCTTTGTCTGGCAAAGAGAAATGTATCTTCCCTTCATTAGCAATTAAATCATCTGTAGTTTCTCTGCACATCTTGGTTCACCTGGCATTCCTGGGTCCCGACTGTGGGGTGGAACACGAGGTCAGCCCCAGCTGGCAGGGAACCTACCGGCAGCAGACTGTTTTATAGGATTTGAAGAGGGCATGAGAAACGTGTCTCTCCATCCCCAGGTGAGTTGAAGGCCAGCATTTCTCCAGCGCAGAATGTGCAAACGGGACCGGCTCTCCAGCCCCAGGCAGGCACATTAAATCACCGTCCTCCGACATTTAGTTCCTTCTTGGCCAGACATCTTTACTGCACGATGACTGCTAGTTTATATCTGATCAGCTCTTCCAGCCTCCAGTAATGCTGAGCTCTTTAAATCAGCCTGAAGCTGCTTCCTTGAAAGCCAAGCCCAGTTAAATACACTGGGGGCTTATACTTGAGTTAAAAAGAAAAAGAAAAAAAGCTTGACATAGCTGCCTCGTATATCAAACTGTAATGAAAGGGAGAGGGATGTTTTCAGCTGAAAATAAAACTTGGTTTCCACTAAGTTTGGAGATCTAATCTCCTGTATAAGCATTTACTTTCCAGCCTTTAAAGGACACGTATGAATTCGACAAGGGTGTACGGAGAAGGTAGGCAAGTTTTAGTTATCATTATAGGGAACCATTTGAGACATTCTGACCCAGCTATCCTGCTAGTTTTTGATCTGAATCTCCCATAAAGCCTAATCATCAGGAATTTTGGGTGTTGTGTCTAAGCCTGTGTTTGGTTACCTCACCTCAAATTAAAAGATGGCCCCAAAACCCAGGGTAGAATTTTTGCCTCTTTTGCCAGATGAATGTGGGCTGCCATAAACAGGCTTCTAGTCATGTTGTTCTTAAATATTTTTATTCTTTCTTACAGGATCATGTTTCTCAAAATTTCTAATGAGAGCCTCTGAATGAGCTATACATGAACAACCAGGTCAGAGATGTCCCTGTTAAAACTATTCAGTCAAAACCCAGTTTTGACTTTCTGTCTCATGTTTGTGGGCGCTTTCTTGACTCTTTTGACCCCTCTGTGGACATCCTTAGGATAGCTGGGTCAGAATGTCTCAAATGGTTCCCTATAATGATAACTAAAATTTCATTTCATTTCATTAGGCCAGTGGTGGCGAACCTATGGCATGGGTGTCAGAGGTGGCACTCAGAGCCCTCTCTGTGGGCACACGTGCTGTTGCTGCAGCCTCGCCTCCCCCCACAATCTCCTCACCAGCAGCTCCCCTGGAGGAGAGTCGCCCCCGAGCGTGGCCCACGCAGAGCAGTGCAGCCAAGGACATGGCAGCCAGGCAGCGTAGACAAGACTTTGCCCTCACGCCCAACGTGCACAGTTGATGCTGTGGGGCGCGGGCAGAGGGGGTGGCTGCCATGGCGCTGCTGGGTGATCTGCGGCAGGCCCTGGAGGTGGTGAGTGGCCCTGTGGGCAGGCACGATGGGGGCGGGGTGGGGGCAGGGCCGGGGTGGAGCAGGGGCGGGGCCAGTTTTTGGGCACTTGGTCTCTAAAAGGTTCACCATTACTGCATTAGGCCTTCGGCAGGCTCCTGGTTAACATTGAAAGAGAAACTCATGCAAAGACTTTGGCAGGGATCTCTTTGTGACACCAATCCTGTCCCTGTCCCCTGTCTGGGATAAACAAAGGCAGGAGGTCACACTAATAAACAGAGGTGTCAAAATGTCAAGATTTGGGCCATCACTGTCTGATCAAAGCATCGCCTCTTATATACTCATAAAAAATAGGCAGAGCTTTGACTGCACCATTGCAACCCTCTTTCTTGAGATTTTTTGACTAGCCTCTGAGGACACTTCTGTTAACAGGCAAGACGAAGGCCAGAGAATCTTGCTGTCATTGGCTGGTCAATAGACCTGATGTTTTTTTTTTTAATATTGCAAAAGAGAGAAAGTCATTCGCAGCAAATAGTTTTGCTTCAACGAATGAATAAACTTTGTGGTGCCCTAGTTGGGGGCTAATCCAAGATTAACAGCATCTGCTTTGAGGTGTGGGAATTAAGGCTTCCTCAGTGAGGGGCAGTAAATGGTTTTGGCATCACATTTCTGGTTGGAAATTGAATTAACATGGAAAGCAACCAGTGTTTTTGGTCTTGAGGACTTGGAAGCAAAGCATGAGATTGGATAGTGAAATGGGCAAAGTAGGAAAACGTAGAATGAAACTATGAATATACAGAACTAGTAAATGACTGGATCTGCTGCCTTGTTCTAACAGGTATAGAGACAATGGGAATCAGGCAGCATACAAACTGAATTAATAAATAAGCAAGGCATGTTGAAACCAATGGCTCAAATTAGCCACATCAAATGCGATTGGACTGCTATGGTGGGATGCCTACAGTTGCTATGCTAAACTGAATATAGTCTTTAGACCTTTTCCCTTTGAAAATAAAAAAGTGCACAATATATTTAAGTTTATTTTCTAAGTCATTTAATATAAGCAGATGCATTCTTACATTGAATCCCAAATTGGAAAGTATCTTGGAGATCAATTTAGTCCTACTCCCTCCTCAATGTAGGATCCATTAGATCAGTGGTTCTCAACCTGTGGGTCAGGACCCCATTTGGGGTCGAATAACCATTTCACGGGGGTCACCAAACAACGCAGTCCGCCATTTTTTCCCCCTTTTCCTTAGCTGTGCTACTCCCTTTTATTCTATTGGCTTTTGAAAGCCAATAGAATAGACTCTCTTGAATAGAGTCTAATTCTATTGGCTTTCAAAAGCCAATAGGAATTGTCCAGGCTGTCTCTGCCCTGCTGAGCCTGCCACAAGTCCCATTCTGCAAACAGTGCTGCACCAGTTGAGTAGTCCTCGACTTACGACTGGTTGAGTAGTCCTCGACTTACGACCGGTTGGGGGTCGCGGCATTAAAAAGGTTGAGAACCACTGCATTAGATCCATGACAAATGACCATCCAGACACTACTTGAAGCCCTCCAGTGAAAGAAAGCCTCCTCAGCCCCTAATTCGTGTGGCAGCTAATTTTATTCGCTGATCCCATAAGTCATATTTTCAGGAGGCTCTTCCTGAGAACTAGCCTGAATCCTCCTTTCTTATCATTTCAGCCTATTGCTCTGGTCCTGCCCTGTGAGGCAACAGATTTAAAATTGACATGACAATCCTTCAAATATTTGAAATCTGCTATTATTTCTTCCCTCAGTAATCTCTCCTGTAGGCCATACATAGTCAGATTCTTCAACATGCCTTGGTTTCCAGATCCCTGAACAGCTTGACGGTCTGTCTCTGAGCCTGATGCAGGTTTTTGATGTCCTTTTTTAAATTGTGGTGCCTAGCACTGGACACATAATTCTGAATGGGATCTGACAAGGACAGAGTACAAGGGAACCATTATTTCTTGTGGTTTGGGTTCAAGATTCCTGTTAATGTAGCTCAAGCTCTCATTTACTTTTTCAGCAGCTGCATCCCACTGCTGCCTCATGATTAATCTGTGGTCAACTCCTAGAATCTCTTTTCATGAGCTCTTACCAAGCCAGAAATCTTTCATCCTATACTTGTGCTTATGTTTTTTCTTGCTAAATGTGGATCTTAACATTTCAGTTACTAAATACCATTCCTTTCATTTGGATAAAGCCATTAACTGGCAGTCTTTGGGTGCAGTCGTAGAATGAATTGTGAGCCCATCTAACAGAGGCATCATATAACTCATTATTTTATCAAGAAGAACATGTTGAAGATTTTCTGAAAATCCAGGTAGGCGGCATATTGCATTCCTTGATCAATTGAGTTAGAACGTGAATTCTAGAGCTATTTTTAAACTGAGAGAATTTTGAACCAGGGCCTATAGAAAGCACAGTTTGCTGGTAAAATAGGATGATTCATTCTGTAATCCCACTGATCAGGAATCTGAAGCAGGCAGATCAGTTCTGCTCTCACCTTTTATATAAAGGGCTATAGCATATCATGCTTGTTTATAATGTGTTTATAATGTAGGGAGTTTCTTATCCTGTTTTGCGAATCCCCATTGTAACTGTTTGTGAAATTATTCTTGAGACGAAAAGCATTGGCAAAATTATTGCATTAAGGAATTCCACGAGGAGCCAAATTAGGCAACTCTCTTCCTTTATTCTAGCCTTGTAGAAGATCTGGAAGCTACTTTTTAGGAAACCAGATATGATTATGGTTTTGTTCCATGCAACATTTAGGTATAATATAGTTTGTTTCTAAATCTGAAGCTGGATGCGAATGGCTAGGAAATTCTCCAAATTCTAGTAACAGTATGTCTCTCAATCAAACATCTGACATTCATTGCACACAGGGCAATTCAAGGGAGTTTTGTGTAAGAGATAAAGGGAGTGTGGATTGCAGAGACTATAATACTGTAGTGTGTAACTGATTGTAGTTGTTCTCCTTTTGCCTTAACAAAAGCTAAGCAGGGCTAGATCTGGCTAATATTTGGATGGGAGACTATCATTCTCAGGCCTGTAGGTTAAACCTGGAAGTTGGAAAAACATTCTGGAAGAAATCAGAGGCAAACCACTTCCTAATTCCTGCCAAGAAAACTACACCAAGGGAGTCTTTACTTTTATTGGCTCTTTAGAGTGTGGGAAGTGTTTAGCCAGTTTCAGGAAATGTTCTAACTTACATATGTCGTCTGTCTTGCATGTTTTTCTTTTAAAATTAAAATACAACCAGGTATGAACCTCACAGGACAAAATCATGCCATTCATTTCCATAGCAGTAATTCTTTAAGAATAGCCTGCCATAAATTCTGAAAGTACTTTATATGACACTTGTCCCACCTCTTTTAAATCCAGTTCAGAGTATGAGCTAGAAGGAAGCTCCTAGTGACCAGCCATTACCTAGAAATCAAGGATTGGACCTGTCCAGTGAGCCAACCTTCTGCTACACTGTGAACAAAAGCACATTTGGCGTCTTCTAATCACAAATAGATGGGTCAGCGCACAATTCCTAAAGCCTAAGTATTTGTGTTATCTGAATTCATTCACGGTATCAGAGATTCCAAAGGCTTACACTTACATGCTTATATTTTGCCTGTGGTCTACAAATAGTTAGCTATATTAATCCCTAAATATCCTTGACAATCAAAGTCTTTGATATTTCAAAAGTTCAGGAAGTGTTGAATGTAATTTTGCCAATTCATAGGATATGTCTGCCCCTAAAGCAAATATTGACGGATTCCACACAATAATGATGTGAGTACCCTAGTAAGATTAGAAGGTTTTTGTACATTCTATCTTTGTGTCATGCTGATTTGTTCATTGAAACTCAGCTGCACTTTCCTGCATCCTGAAATGTTTTGTTTCAATCAAATGAGAAGCAACACTAGTTGTAGAAATTGTGGGTTCTTGGGATCTAATGTGTAAAGACATTGTAATATGTGACGCTGAATACTTTCTTGGTTGTATCATGTGGCATTTAAAACAGCTACCTTCTTGTGTTGGGAGCATGAATGGAAACTGCAAGTCTGTTAAACTTTAATCTTTTTTTTAACTTAAAAGTACTTTATTTTATTAGTAGTAACCATAGATTATAGCCCTTCTAGATCACGTTTGTTTTGTTTTTCAGCAATTGGTTGGCAATGAGTTTCTTCAGCTTGGTAAGGTCACAAACAGCAATAATAATGGGGAGATGGAAAGGCTTAAGGCCCTTTTAGAAAAAAAGATCTTCCTGTACTTCTTTTAATGACTTTCCTAAATTGGAGATTCCCAAACTCAGAAAAGGACATTGGCAAAAATTGGTGGAGAGATGGGAGATAGTTCCAGTATTAGACTTTTTTTTTTTTTTTTTTTTTTTTACTGTTTCTGGCTTTAGGATGGGAATGGCTATGGATCCTGGAATGTTCTCTTCAGGTCCTCAGAGTTTTAGTGTTTTTCTTTAGACATAAGACAAAAATGAATTCTGAATATTTGTAATTCCCAAGACTCCAGAGGAAATGATAAAAGAACCAGTCCGACAAGAAAGTAAATAAATAAGATGCATTATTTGTACAAAAAAAATATATAAACAAGTTTTTTTTTTAAAAAAGGGGGGGGGAGGGGAGCTGCCTCCTGTAGTATTTGTCAACCTTAACAAGAAATTTACATGGATGCTGCCAAGTCACAATTCATGAAACATTCGTAATTACATTCATAGGCTGCAAGCCTTCGCAGAGTTATAGACATGTCCATCAGAGGATCCTGGCTGGGGTTTGCAAATGGGACAGAGCAGCTAGCCAACTCCTGGGGGGGGGGAGGCAATCCAGAGTTGGATAGAGCTCGGCTGAAGTCGGAACTAAATCGCCTGCCTTTGCTTCAGTTCAGGTCTCTGGGCTGCAAGAGCATTAATGGTGCTGACAACACAAAGATGCACACCTTGAGTTTGTGCTGAAATAAACAGAGAAGCCAGCTTCTTCGGGAGCCTCATTCACATTTATATTCAAGCCCCCCCGAAAAAACCCCACTGCACCCATTTGAATGCTGAAATGAATGGATTCCTTTCACAGAGAATTTCCAAAAGGCCACCATCCAAAAGAGTTTAGCTGCTAAAGTCTGATGCTCTAATGAAAATCTATTTATTTTTCTACTGAGAAAAAACAGCAACCACATTTCTGCTAAGGAAAAGTGATCTTCTGTTTGCAGAGTATAACCTTCCTCTCCATGCCTTCCCGTCCCCCCCCCATACCCTGTTGCAGTTTTCTCTGTATGAAATGAATGTAGTCAAGGTTAAACACAAAAATAGGGAGCAGACAATACATTGTCACTGTTATTACAAAAACGTAGCAGATGCATTACAGAAGAATCCCTTTTCCCCTCCGCCCCCCCCCAATAGTTTCATCTGGACAAAATAATGTACAATTATTCATATTGCACTTTTTATACAAGAAATTCTAATAAATATACACAAATGATACATTTACATTAACATAGAAAGACATTCTCTTCTTCTTTTCTTTAAATAAATGTTGCATTGATTCATAGCAACGCAGTTAACTCAGAAACCCATCTGAAAAAGAGAGCAAATTCTCTGCCAGATACATTTTGGAAAGCCCAAAACAGAAGGCAATTTAAATCTGGCGGACCTGACATTGACCTCATCAGAGAACTTCCAGACTTGTTTTAAAATATACAGGTAATAAAAAGCTGCAACCTGTCAATGCTACCTTCAACGCACATTTTACGATTGAATACCAGCCAAGGTTCCTCTGAAAACACACCCAAGGAGCAGCAATGGCCTTTTATAGTGCTCGTGCTCAACTGAACCCCCAGAACTGAAGACTCCACTTACTCAACCTGAAGATGTTTGGGGTACAAAATGTGCAGCACAAATCATGATTTTTGTTTGAAGACCCTTCTCTGGAAATACAAAATACCAGTTTTGATTTACAGATGCTCAATCCTTCATCTTGCTAAAGCCCAGCTTTGGATAATTACTAGAGATGTGCACCCACTGTACCTTGGAGAAATCAGCACTGGGTAAAATCATCACGCCTGCCAAATGTTGTGTCAAAGTCAGCCCCCAAAGCAAGACAAACCAATCACATGCTTCTTCTATCACTATTGTGTCAGGGTCTGTGGGAACCAGCTCATTCATTTGCTCAGCTTTTGGACTGGACTCTGAAAGGTGTGAAGGACATTATAGACTTGATGGCTGCCATACAGACTGCCTTTCCTTGTCCTTCAACAGCAGGTAGGAAATATAGTATGTAGCCTGTTTGAGTTGTGTCATGGGGCAACCCATGTTTCACAACAGGCCTTCCAAAACAACCCTTTACTCTTCATTAAAACAGCCCATCATTTTGCAAATTCCGTCCCATGAAGGAATTGATTTGCACTGCAATTCTAAAGGTAGCCACAGTGGGGGTTTTTTAAGGCTCATGGGGGTATCTGGAAAAAAAGAATACGGAACTACTTTAATGAACAACAAAGATCTGGAACCTGTGTGAGATTGGAACCATCTCTTAAAGCAGGGGTCTTCAAAATGGCCCTTTTGTGACTTGTGGACTTCAACTCCCAGAATTCCTCAGCCAGGCACGCTGGCTGAGGAATTCTGGGAGTTGAAGTCCACAAGTCATAAAGTTGCCAAGGTTGGGGACCTCTGCTCTACAGTATTTTCCTTTTCCCAAGAAGTCCCTGCAGATTTTACTCCACTACTCATTGATGATGATAGGTGGTGGTTTTCATTTCCATTTCAAGGCATGACATCACAGAGTGCAGTTATCTTCCCGCCAAAGTGGTACCTATTTATCGACTTGTATTTGCATGCTTTTGAACTGCTAGTTGGGCAGGAGCTCAGGTGAAGGAGGCTAAATGAAGGGGCATTATAAGATGGCTGCAACAGCCCATCAATCAGAGCTACAAAGAAGTGTATTTCAGAGCTGCCGTGATTTAGCTCCAAGCAGTTCAGCACCGTTTGTGAACTTTAACCTGTTTAATTAAAAAAAAACCCTTTTTTTTTTGAGAGGATCACGAAATGGGATGCACCTATATTGATTGTCTTTCTTTGTGTTATCTCCATCAAGTGAGAAAACAGTTCAGTTAATATATTTCATCATTCTAGAGGATGTTTATAATTTACATCTGCATTGTTCCATGTAGTGGGCATCATAGTAGCGAGGATTAATATGATTATTCTGCACAAGCAATCCATTTTAAACGTCATCTAATCACAAGGAATTTCTATGTAGATAATCTATACATAATTGTATGGATTGGGTTGTACTTCCATAGTGGAGAAGGGGTGATGCTGAACAGGTGTTGCCAATCTCTTTCAAAAAAAAAAAAAACATTTTTGGACAAATGAGTTTACTTATTCCTCTTACTGTTTGCCTCATAATTTCTCTTTCATTACTGCAAAATATTAGTGGGTTTTTTTACACTCACTCTGAATCATATGGACTACATAATCTTCCATCCCAATTTCTTCTTTAGTTTTGTTTTTTTAATTAGTTTCCAACTTCATTTCTACTAAAAAAAAAAGTTACTAGGAAAAATGCGATGGAAACCTCTTGAGTATTTCCCTCTACTTTCATCAGATTCAATATTAATCAAGAGTAATCAGTATGAAACTGCATATAGTATATTTAGTTATGTGAGTTTTTTTTAAATGAAATAAATTAAAAAGAACTCCAACCTGGATCACAAGGAATCAAAATGAACTGTAAGAGTTAATCTTTGGTGTGCCTTTTTTCCTAATCTGAATGGCATTGCTCCCCCTGCCTTTTAGACACATTATTAAAAATGCAATTTAATCTACTGTAGCATTCTGAGAGTCAAACTGTACCACCTGAGGATCACAAAAGCAGAAAATGCCAAACTGTAGCATAAAAAAAAGACATACAGCTATGATAATCTCATTATGGATACAGACAAGCCATCATTTCTTCAAATGTACGAACAATCAACCTCTTGGGAAGTATTGAGAGAGGCAGCGAGAACTTTACCACCCTCTTTCTTCCCCTTATTTCTAATTATATTTTCCCCAACTTAGTGGCCTCTGGATGTGTTGGCATAGGAAATCCCCATCACCATTGCCAATGTTGAGCCCAAAAGACCAGCTGTTCTTGCTGGTAAGCCCCTGTGGCAAAATTCCAAGAACTCACAAGTATAACACTGCACACTACCCACTTTCCGGGTGGTGATGGTGAGTGCAACATAATACATCCCTGTTTGGGAAGAGGATTCCCTACGAGCGTGCCAGAGTCAGCGCCAATGTTTGTTTTCAAGGTGGCAATCGTCCATTTTAATCTCTGCTTTCTGTGTCTGTCAAGCCCCATTCCGATTCACGTCCTAGTAATCCAGTTGGGTGTCTGGTCTCCAGTTGCTTCCACGTCTTTCTTCAGTCCGTCAAGGGCCCCCCAGTGATGTCTTCTGGAAGGTTCCATTTCCAACATGCTTTCTCTCTCTCTTTGTTCCTCTCTTGGCCTTCACCCTCATCATGAACTGTGACTCGCTGCATGTGTTTCCCATCATTAGGAGAGAAACCTTGTCAAGGTCATTTTTTTTTTAAGAAAGAACAAATGACTCTGTTAAAAGAGATTTCTTAACAAGAAAAAAAAAGAGAAGGGGGAGAGAAAGGAAAAATAAATAAATAAGTGGCAGATGAGGCAACTGCTTTTCCAATTTTCCTTTTCTCAAGTAGCTCTTCTCAGGAGCAGAGTAGAGCCAGGCCATCAGTTGCTAAATTCACTTTCTTTCTTTCTTTTGCTGCTGCCTTCATGCTTTTCCACACGTCCCACAGCAGCGTGACTTGAACTGTGCCAGTTGGCAGAGCTTTAACTGCTTCACCTTCTCACAATACCTGGTGGTATCTCTGCACTCAACTAGGAAAAAGGGGATGAGAATAATAAAAAAGGGGGGGATGACAAATCTTATCTTGAATCTTTCTGGCTGGCTAACTTTTAGAACATCTGTAGTTACTCAGATGAAAGATGATCCTGAACTTACGACATTCCCACCTCCAGAAGAAAAAATGAACAGGAAAAGAAATATAAACATGTACAAAAAGTCCAATAAAATGCGAAGGTGTCCCATCCTGATGACCTGGGATTGTCAGTTCCAGCTGAAACCAGTCCTAGTGATTTCCCCCTCCTAATAAATGTTTGAAGAGCCAAGGCTAATTAACTAACAAAATTAGTAGGTATCAATTGAGTTCTTAACCAAAAATAAGCAAAATATGTAAAATTATTTGAACCCTATTCTGCTTTATACCAAGCATTTTCTCTCGCATACGAATCACTTTTGTACATAGAAACACACAAGTACCAAAACTTTCATTTCCTTCCTTCTTTCCGCAGGATGGAGGTGGGACAAGTGGAAAGGGTAGATGTATGGGAAAGAAGAGAGGGGGGGGGGGAAAAGCAGTCTCATACAGAAAGTTCAGACAGATCTGCTCTATAGCAGCATGGAGGAGAATTGCTCTATTGGGAGATACTGAACACTCAAATGAAAAATAAAAATATTGGCTTATAAAATCTATGACCTTCATTGCCTAAATTGCCTATACATTTTAGCTCAGAATATGGGAAATAAGCAAGACGAAGGTGACCTTAGTATAGGAAGATATTTCTAACAGCAATTGATTCTCATTCCACTCACCTTATTATAAGATAGTCCTTGACTTATCACTTGGTGACCGTTCAAAGTTAACAACGGCACTGAAAAAATGTGATTTATGACCATTTTTCACACCTACAACCATTGTAGCATCCCTATGGCAGTGGTCAAAATTCGGATGCTTGTCAACTGGCTCGTATTTATGACGGTTGCAGTGTCCCAGGGTCATGTGATCACTTTTTGTGACTTTCTGACGATCAAAGTCAACGGGGGAAGCCAGATTCACTTAATAACTTCATGACCGACTTAAGAACTGCAGTGATTCACTTAACAACTGTGGCAAGAAAAGTCGTAAAATGGGGCAAAGCTCACTTACCAAATGTTTCACTTAGCAACAGAAATTTTGGGCTCAATTGTAGTCGTTAAATTGAGGGATACCTGTACTTGTAATGTATAAACAAAAGCACATGTAAAGTAATTGGAGATCTTTTTAGAGGACATTGAATGGAGAGAATGGGACACAACTTGTAGTAGGCATCAGGTAAAAACCTCTGATTATTCTTGTTAGGTGAGTGTAAGCAGTGTGGGTGGACAATTTTTTAAAATATTTATTCGGTGAAAGAAAGGATGGAAAAGGTCAAACATTTTAACAAATAATTTTAAGGTATTTCAAGCTATGATTTTTGTCTGGTTTAGCTAGTGACAAAGTTCTCTCTCTAGGAACTACTATTCCTAGGAGGGACTACAGAATTCTACTTATTGTAAAGTTTGGACATTGTATGGGAAGCTAGTTATCTTCTCAAGGAAGACAGATGAGAGTTTCATCACATACCATCTGATCAGAATCTGAGAGGCAGACTAGTGTAACTACATGCAGAAGAATTGCAATTACAGACAGTCCTCACTTAACAACTGTCCTGTATAGCGACTGTTCAAACTTTCAACAGTGCTGAAAAAATAGTCGGACAACCGGCCTTTGCAGCATCCCCATGGTCACGTGATTGCAATTTGGGCGCTTTTCAGTCACAAGGTTGTCATTTGCAACCTTCAAAGCCGGGCTTCTGACCGTGGCTCTTTTATGACTCCTGGACTTCAACTTCCAGAATTCCTGAGCCAGCATGGCTGGCTCAGGAATTCTGGGAGTTGAAGTCCACGAGTCATAAAAGAGCCAAGGTTGCCTATCCCTGACCTAAGTCAATGGGGAAGCCGGCAGGATGTTGCAAGTTGTGCTCACGTGACACCATGCTTAATGGCCATGGGTGAATCACTTCACAACCAGGATGGATCTGATGTTAAGTTGGGCACAGTCAAGTTGGGATGGAATTACTTAACAGTTAAGTAAAACATCACATGACTGTGCCCAACTTAACATCAGATCCAGCCTGGTTGTGAAGTGATTCACCCATGGCCATTAATCATGAGGTCACATGACCACAACTTGCCAGATCCTGCTGGCTTCCCCATTGACTTGGGTTGTCAGAAGCTGGCTTTCAAGATTGCAAATGGCAATCACGTGACCGTATTGCCAAAAGTACTGTTAAGAGTTAAGTGATGGAGCTGCTGGTCCCAATTTCGCTTGTTAAGTGAAAACTGCCTATACTTGTAGGGAGGAATGTGTGAATATCTCATAAGAACATGCATATTCAAATTGCTGCTTTGCGCGTTGACTAGGGTGTGAAATAGTAAAAACGTACTATTTTCGCATGGAGTGATGTTACATCTCTGCCAGTTAGCAGGTCTTGGTCTCCAAGCGCATAGGTGATCTTGCACAGGCTGGCTCGTGTGAACACGTACACATTCCACTCTTCTAGATTGGAAGCCATAGTTCCCACAGGTAGCAGTGCACAAAGTCCACAGACTGACCCTCCAGTGTACACCACAGGCATCTGTCCAGCAGTTCTGAGTGCTTAAAGGCCTTTGATGGAGAAAAAAATATATAAAATGGAAAAAAAACATCAATATTTGCATATTACCCTTTATGGAAACTGATTCAAGGTTATCCACGCAGGAGCTGGGATTAATTTCAGTGGTGTTTGGATCTTGAAATCACAAACAAAAATGGCTTAGAAAAGAGTACAGAAATAGTCCTATGGCAGGCTGGAGGAAAAGGAAGCATTTTACGCGCACATGTGCGCACGGATGCAAATGGAGCTGTGAGCACACGTGACATAAACAGGGTGGTGCTAGCATCTGTGTGACAATAGCACTGCCCTGTTTTCGCCACAGAGGCATTAGCACCGCCCTGTTTTTGCTGTGCGGCATCCTGTTTGCATAGAGGCGGCGGTGCTAGCCCCAAGTGGGTGTGCGTGCACGCACACACATACGTGCACTGGCCAGCCTGTTCCCTGGCCCAGTGGCCAGCAGGCCATGGCCCGGTAGTGGACCCCAGCCCACAGGTGGGGGTCCCCCAGTATAACATAATCCGATGTTGCTAGTCATGAAGCAAAGCCTCAGAATTAAAATGGCTTTTTCTGGAGCTTCAGCCATATGTCTGCTCTCTGTACACAGATAAATGCAAATATATTCAGACATTAGCAAGAGGGTAGAAAAGCATGTATTTTGTGGAAAAGGCTGATGGTTATGATGAAGAAAAAAAACCTATTGCAAAGAAAAAGCATACTTTCTCCTAAATCATTAGAACAAGGAGGGCACTGGAAACTTTTTATATAACCAGTGAGACAAAAGCATTCATTGTGATTATCAGTTATCATGTATTATGGTCTGAGAACCAAAACATAGAGCTTTGGGTATTTTCAAGGTGTCAATGGGACCTACCTTGGGAGGGAACTGCACTGGTCAGAAGGCACAGAGACCCCATCCCTGGTCTGGCAAAACACCTGCCTGTGCTGGAGTGCCAGACGAGATCCAATACAAGGCCCATTGCACTGTTAACAAACAAAGAAAAAACAAGACACCAGTTTGAACAGATATAAAAAAACCTCTTCACTTGCTGGCTGTGTGAAGTGGTAAGAGAGAGGATTTTCGAATTTGAGTTGGCTAGTGGGCTAAGCTACAATTCTAACATTTTGAATAGACACAAATAGGAAACTTTCAGAAAAGTTGTCATATTAATCTCCCTGAGTAAAGCTAGCAGTGTTGTGTAGCTTGCTCACTCATTCAACGGGTTAACCCCTTTCATAATTATTTGGTATTTTAGAAGATAGTGTCAAAATTTTATTTTAGAAAGGGTCACTCTATCTTGTCTGCTGTTGTAAATATTTTACAACAAATATTTATGACAACTGATAGGCAACCAGTAAAACAGAATTAGGGAAGACATGTTATGAATAATTGAAAGGGAAAAGATGATTAATGCTAAACGCTAGAAATTTAACCAATGTAGTTAATAAATGTACACAATCTTTTTTCACATGATAGTGGAAATAAACCTTCATTTGTGATTTAGATTGTATCCCTCTTCCCCTCTTTACAATGTAACATTTTACAAGTGCTTAGCATTAATCCTTAAAAGTCCCTGAGGAATGTTTCTGGAGAGCTACCAGGAATGGATCAATAAACTATGCTTAGCCAAAATTTATCCAGAAATATTTTAAGAAATACCCCCTTCAACAGGAAAGGATACAGCAAGTTAAGTTTTGAATACAGATTTGCCTCAAAACCTCACAAAAACAAAAACAAAACCACTGGGATAGAATATGATTTGGTTATAGTTCATTTCCAATGATCTTGTTCTTCTCCGAGAGCTCCATCCAGCCTAGTTAGAGTCTTTCTTTAAGGTGTTGAATTTGATTACTGAGGTTCTCTCCAGGTCTGTAAAAAGATTAATTACTGGGTATTTAAATAATGTGATGGTATTTGGGTACTAGTAGAAGCAATTTGACCAGCATCTGGGTTGTACCATAAAGTGGTAAGATCTGCAGGTGGCTCATTTCAAGCCTTATTATGCTAGGAGGATAGGTAAGAAGGAGCATTATCTTCTTAAAAATCTGATTTTTTAAAAAAAAGTTTAAATACATTTGGAGACTCTGGTATCAGAATGGAATCAATAGTATACTATTTGCAGTCTCATGGAGTGACCTGTGAGGCTGGAAGATCTGAAAAAAAAACAACCCTCATGATCCTGGCTTATTCAGGGATCATAGGATTGCAACATTTTTTTTTTAAAGCTGAAGCTGCACAAGACTTGGACATCACAACACTGGTATCAAAGCACAAACATTGCTCATCATGTTGTTTTCCCTAATGAAAACTGATTGAGTTACTAGTCTAAAATATCACATCATTGAACAGATAGTAGAAGGAAATTGAGAATTATCATCTTCTAGCATCTAACAGAGAGTTCTGACAAAATGTGATCCACTGGAGAAGGAAATGGCAAACCACTGCAGTATCTTTGCCATGAAAACCCCATGGACAGTACTAAAAGGCAAAAAGATATGACGCTGGAAGATGAGCCCCTCAGGTCGGAAGGTGTCCAATATGCTACTGGGGAAGAGCAGAGGGCTAGTACTAGTAGCGCCAGAAAGAATGAAGCGACTGGGCCAAAGCCGAAAGGACGCTCAGCTGTGGATATATCTGGTGGTGAAAGGAAAGTCCGATGCTGTAAAGATTTTTTCTCCATAGGAACCTGGAATGTAAGATCCATGAATCAAGGCAAGCTAGACGTAGTCAAAAAAGAGATGACAAGACTGAACATCGACATCTTAGGAATCAGCGAACTAAAATGGACAGGAATGGGTGAATTTAACTCAGATGACCATCAGGTATACTACTGTGGGCAAGAATCCCTCAGAAGAAATGGAGTAGCCTTCATAGTCAATAAAAGAATAGGAAAAGCAATACTGGGATACAATCCCCAAAATGACAGAATGATCTCAATTCGAATCCAAGGCAAACCATTCAATATCACAATAGTCCAAATCTATGCCCCAACCACTGGTGCTGAAGAGGATGAAATTGACCAGTTTTATGAAGCCCTACAGCACCTTATAGAATTAACACCAAAAAATGATGTCCTTATCATCATGGGGGATTGGAATGCTAAGGTAGGAAGCCAAAAGATAACCAGAATAACAGGCAAGTTTGGCCTTGGAGTACAAAATGGTTCAAAATTGGAAAAGGAGTCCGGCAAGGCTGTATACTGTCGCCCTGCCTATTTAACTTATATGCAGAGCACATCATGAGAAAGGCAGGGCTAGATGAATCAAAATTTGGAATTAAGATTGCTGGGAGAAATATCAACAACCTAAGATATGCAGATGATACCACTCTAATGGCAGAAAGTGAAGAGGAACTAAAGAGCCTCTTGATGCGGGTGAAGAAGGAGAGTGCAAAAGTAGGCTTGAAACTCAACATTAAGAAAACCAAAATCATGGCATCCGGCCCTCTCAATTCCTGGCAAATAGATGGGGAAGAAATGGAGGTAGTGACAGATTTTATTTTTCTGGGCTCCAAGATCACCTCAGATGGGGACTGCAGCCAAGAAATTAAAAGACGCTTGCTCCTGGGGAGGAAAGCTATGGCAAATCTAAACAGCATACTAAAAAGCAGAGACATCACCCTGCCAACAAAAGTGTGTATGGTCCAGGCCATGGTTTTCCCAGTTGCAATGTATGGCTGTGAAAGTTGGACCATAAGAAAGGCTGAGCGCAAAAGAATTGAGGCCTTTGAATTATGGTGCTGGAGAAGACTCCTGCGAGTCCCTTGGACTGCAAGGCGTTCAAACCGGTCAGTCCTAGAAGAGATCAACCCTGACTGCTCTTTAGAAGGCCAGATCCTGAAGTCGAAACTCAAATACTTTGGCCACCTAATGAGAAGGAAGGACTCACTGGAGAAGGGCCTAATGCTGGGAAAGATTGAGGGCAATAGAAGAAGGGGACGACAGAGAATGAGATGGCTGGATGGAGTCACTGAAGCAGTAGGTGTGAACTTAAATGGACTCCAGAAGATGGTAGAGGACAGGAAGACCTGGAGGAACGTTGTCCATGGGGTTGCGATGGGTTGGATATGACTTCGCAATTAACAACAACAACAACAAGCATCTCGGTCCCTCCACCAAGGCGTGAGAAAACAGCCACATTTTAATGCTGGCATGCCTCAAACTGCCCATGATCATTATTTCTGAAAAAGGCTAGGCCTCCAAGTAGTCTTCAAGGGCAGGTTGTGTAGAGAGCATTGCAATAATCCAGGAAGATTCACCACCAGTTTGGTTCATAGAATCCATGGATGTTTTGAGCTAGTTCTACAGAGAGGCATCTTCAACCAGCTACAGCTGCTCAGAGCTCAGGAGAGTCAAAAGTTGCAGCCCCAAATACAGAAGACCAGAAGGCTTAGCTTCTAATATTTATATCAAGCCCAGTCCATCTGAAAGTCTTGCATTGCACGCCAGTTTAGGGTGTCTCTTGGCACAATTCTAGTTTTTCCTGTGATTGTGCTTGAGCCCAAAGCACACACAACCTACTCTCTGATTGCAAATCTTCGAAGCATGGAGAAGAAAGTAAGGCCAACAAATTGGATGGACAGAATGGAAAAAAACCCAGTTATGCTGTTCTCCTCTTTGATTTTCATGAAGGAAAACCATGGTTAGGCTTATTATGTTAATGTTACCAATGTAACAAGGGTCTGGACATATTGCAAAAAAGATTTGACTCCCCCACTTCAGAGTGTAAGTAAAAAAAAATCTATTAGATTCCAAAACTGTGATGTCAAAAGTTCAACTATAAACACCAGCATAAGTTCTTTTTCTTTGATAAATAATTGCATAAAATCCCCTCTCTGCAGTCATTACAAGAGACATATCAAAACTAGATTACAGGAGACAGGGATAATGGAAAGGCTTATTTTCAAAGGGTCAAAAGAATATGCTTCTTTCCTCTGCATTTTGGAAAAGGTTAATAATTGAGCTTGGCCAATAGGAAACTGATATCCTTTGGGATGAACTCTGTGATACAATAACAAAATTCCATTTATATATAGACCATAATCTGTTCTTAATTGTAATTGGAATAATCAATTTGTGGACCTGCCTCAAAATGCAGTTGTATATGTTTCCATAGTGCTTAAAAACTCCCCTCATTTTCCTGGCTGGAGAAATATCACATTAGAAAGCCAACAGGTCAACCGAAGTCGATGAATTCATATAGCTTTTGTTAATGAGCCTGGATATGACATCATGGCACGATATAAACTAAGTCATCTCCCTAAGGGACCTGGAAGACTGCATGCATTAAAAAAAAAACATCAACCCTTACCTGAAATTTCCAAATGAGGAAAAAAAAAATCCCCAGGAACTATCCTTACTAAAAAAAAAGGTGGCATTCCTGTTACAGAAGATCTTTTATGTTTCAATGCATGGCTATGGGTATGTAGGTTTTAGTGCAGAGATTCTGCTAGTTGAAAAATGATGCATTTAGTTTTGCTTGAAGCCAGTGCATATCGGCACTTTGCAATTATTCTTCAACTCATCTATGATCCAACTTGTATTCTTCCATTTTGTTTTTACTGCATTTTAGTATAACATGTGTTTGGAATTCTGCACCTCGATATGACCCACGGTCTAATCAATAAAGGTGATGGTATTATTATTATTATTATTATTATTATTATTACTATCTTTTATTCATTAGACATGAACCTCAGTCAACTGAACATTCAAATTGGCTGGCGTTGATGGTTGACACGGGTTGCTATCAACATCCTAGGTGTCAACCAGGTACCTCTTTAAAATATAAGATGTTCCGAGTAGCGCAGTTTTTCGTAACATTGCTGGAGTTATTGCAGGAAGCTGCAGTTTCTTGATGTATTTTGCAAAGTTTTTGGACATAGTTCCCAGGGCCCCGATGACAATGGCTATCACTGTTACACGTTTTGTCCATAATCGCGCAGTTTTGATGGCCAGGTCGCGATATTTTGTAATTTTTTCCAGTTCTTTTTCTTCGACTCTGGCATCTCCTGGTATTATTATTATTATGGATCATTGCACAGTCAGCCAGATGTTCAGACTGGATTTGGCATTTTGTCTACCTATCGAGTCCTTACCAAGGACCTGGGATAGGCAGATGTGGATGTTTGATGGTATTACAGATATCGTCACAAGATGGAAGCAGTTCCTAGTAAGGCTGCCTTTTGCAATTGACTAATGGCAAATTTGTCAATGCCAATGGTGTTCAAGTGGTGCTTCAGTTGTTTTGGGATTGCACTCAAGGCGCCTATTACTATTGGTACTACCCTTGCTTGCTTTTGCCACAGTCTTTCTATTTCTATTTGTAGGTCTTTGTATTTTGTTATCTTCTCCAGTTCTTTCTCGTCTATTCTGCTGTCTCCAGGCATCATCACCATCATCATCATTATTATTATTAGCCTCAACTCCACCCAGTCATAACTAACTACCTCAGTTTTGTTCTTCCTTTTGAACTATTCATTCTTCCTTCATACTTGTTTTAGAGTTCAATCCTCGTTCATGTTCACTGTAAGACCAATAATATTTCTTTCTATTCAATGCAAGTAGATCTTCAATTACAATGATACCTTTGCCCTCTCAGAATCACAATGATTAGTGTGGGCCAAATTTACTTACCTGTCCCCAGGCCGAAGTTGCCCACTCTACACATAGCTGTCTATTGCAACTCTGAGTATCTACTGGACGCTTGGCAAACTGAGCACAAATATCACTGGACGCAGGTACGGAAATGCCAGCAGCTGTCAGTTTTTGACAAGTCACCCTCCGGGACTGGATACCCCCACCGCAGCTTTGGGTACACTGAGACCATAATGTCACCATCCATCTAATCGGGAGAGGTAAGGGAGCAGAATTTTCAGTGAAATTACTTTGGAAAGAACTGTAGTAGATTACAAAGCTTCCAGTTTCATTTCTTCTGAGGCAACACTCCTTTATCTATTTGACTAAACCTAATGATTTCTTACTGTTGGCATCTAAAATTGGAAAAAATAACATTTCCCTGCAATGAATAACAAAGATGGTAACAAGTGGCAGAAATGGATCCAAACTCACACTACTCACACAAAGGTGAAATTATCAGTATGTTTGGGATAACTGAGAACATTGCTTTATTTAGCACAGTCAAATCTAAGCGGCTTCCTCTAGCTTGGGTCCTTCACAAACATTGTGTTTATACCATCTCTCACCATTGGTCTAGCCCAGGGGTAGGCAACCTTGGCTCTTTTATGACTCGTGGACTTCAACTCCCAGAATTCCTGAGCCAGCAATAGCTCAGCATGGAAACCTCTCCCTTTCCCCTCAGCATGGCTGGCTCAGGACTTCTGGGAGTTGAAGTCCACGAGTCATAAAAGAATCAAGGTTGCCTACCCCTGGGCTAGCCTAAATGGTGATAGGTTTCTAGAACAGAGATGTAAAAGAATTCAATCATGGATCGCACTGGGAACAAACATAGATATTACGCTCCCAGAACAGTTCCACGTTGAAGCTGGGGAAATCCATAGGAGGTGGGATCTTGGTTTGTTAAGAACACAAAGTGGCTGAGGGTGAGGTTTTTTATGTGTTCCTTTATTTTGAAAGCACCCCGGGTATGATAATGAAATAGGATTCTGACAGAGATGCATCCTTTTCAGCAGCACTTCTTGCAATGCCCATATGATCGTGTTACCTTACACTGTCATGTTACAATCACAGAAGGAAGATTAAGAGGATGTCCTGTTCTATTAGTACTAGCAACAGCACTTAGACTTATATACTGCTTCACAGTGCTTTACAGTCCTTCTTAAGCAGTTTCCAGAGTCAGCATATTACCCCCAACAATCTGGGTCCTCGTATTACCGACCTTGGAAGGGATGAAAGACCGAGTCATCCCTTGAACTGGTCAGAATCAAAGGAACCGAACTCCTGGCAACGTGAGCAGAGTTAGCCTGCATTACTGCATTCTAACCACTACGCCATCATGGCTCATATTGTAATGACAGAATGAATTTAATCAATAGGAAAATTGACTGAACTGGAAAACTGCAAATGTGGATAGTAAAACATAAAGAAGGTGCTGGAGACAATTTGAGGACAATTCTAATGATCATATGCTTTTTACTCATCGTGTCTTTTAATTCTCTTCTTTAGCTGTCAGGCCCCAGATGTTAGTGATATCTTACACCAAGATGATGGATACTCTTTATTTTATTAAAAGTCTCAAAGAACAGTAGCCTCTATACACAATCCATCATTAAGCATTGGCAATTTCTTTGAGAAATAATTTTTCAGGCATTGGGGTTCTCATTTAGTCAAGACGTATTAGAAAACGTGGTTGGAATATAATGGTGGTGATTTGATACTGGAGAATGTGCCATGCCACTTAAGGAATGCGCTAGTCCAGATTATGCTGTGTCATGTTAGTACCATATTTCCACCCTTTACAAAAGGAACGCAAGAAGGAGAAAACTTCCCCCACCCTTATTATGGGAATTGTAGTCCTAGCCATGTATACATCACGGAAGATAGGGCTGATGCATTTCTTTCTGATGGACTCAACTTTATGTACTTGCCTGTCAAGATGCACAGTACTTCACACCTGCCAAGTTTAACTTGTCAGGAGATATTCCTTGATAATAATTGACAAAGATATCTTACTCTGTCCTGCAAAGAGATTCCTTGATCCCTGGCTGCCAGGCAGATTAAGCTGATAAAGCAATTTTTGCTACAATGCTTAGGCAAGTGATGATTCTCTAAAGGTTAGCAATCCTTGCCTCATTGCGAAGTTTTTGACACACATTGCACATTTCAATGGAAGGCCAAACCTTGAAGGGCAATCTCTTCTATTGCACGCCACAGGTTGCAGATTTGGTTTGGGTTTTTCCACACAGTGGGATATGTTGACCTGGGTTCCATCCAGTAAGCATTTCAGCTGATGATATTGTAGACCCTTATTGCCACAAGAGGCTGAACAAGGTGACATCTTGTCCACTGACCATCGGTAATCTGAAATTGCAACAGTTCAATTAAGTGGAAAAGCCTAGCCGTGTATGCATCTGTGTGTACAATAAAGCTTTAACCAAGCTATGCTAGCAAATATGGAGAGCAACCAGTGGCTAACAGACTGAAAGAGGTAAATCCATATGTCAATAGCAAAGAAAGGAGATTTAAAAGATGGTGCAAATAATTTCATACACAAGTAAAATAATCTTTAGAATCATCCATCACAGATTAGAGCCCTACAAGGAAAGGGAAGTGGCAGAAGTTCAGACTGGTTTTAGAAAGAGCAAGACATAAGTAACATTCAGCTTTCCAAAAGGGCCTGAAAACCTGGGAGCCCCAATGGGGATGTGTCATTCTGGAGGTCATTGATGGACTAAGCTAAGACCCTGCCTTCTCCCCGTGTGCCTCTTGCTCTCTCCCTTCCTACCTTGTCAATTTTAATGTTAATATTTATCGTTTTAATGTTTAACATTGCTTTTGTGATGGTGAGCTGCCTAAAGTCACCTCTAGGCCAGATGGGCGGCATATAAATTAAAGAAAGAAAGAACCGTTTGTTGCTCATATGCAGTATGCTGTAATCCAGTGGTTCTCAACCTGTGGGCCGGGACCCCATTTGGGGTCGAACAACCATTTCACGGGGGTCGCCAAACAACGCAGTCCGCCATTTTTTTCCCCTTTTCCTTAGCTGTGCTACTCCCTTTTATTCTATTGGCTTTTGAAAGCCAATAGAATAGACTCTCTTGAATAGAGTCTAATTCTATTGGCTTTCAAAAGCCACTAAGAATTGTCCAGGCTGTCTCTGCCCTGCTGAGCCCGCCTAAAGTCCCATTCCGCAAACGGTGCTGCACCAGTTGAGTAGTCCTTGATTTACGACCAGTTGAGTAGTCCTCGACTTACGACCGGTTGGGGGGTCACAGCATTAAAAAGGTTGAGAACCACTGCTGTAATCATTAAGTAAATTAAAGAATACTCCCAAAGGTCCATAAAGAATACCACCCAGTAACTTTGTAACTGTTCAAAGTCACCCAGTAAGCTTCGGTGGTTGAAGGTGGACTAGAACCTCAGTCTCCCCACTCTTAGTGCAAGACCTTTACAGCCTTATTATAATGCTCCTACCAGTCTGCTACATTCTAGTACTATTAAATGGCTGTCTTTTTTCCCCCCTTTCTTCTCAGGGTAAGCAATCTGACATAAAACCTACGTAGGTTTTCTCAGTTGGGTTTGTTTTTATGCTGAAAGAATCTAGAAAAATTAATCTAGCAGGAGTTAATACTGGGACAATATACAATATTCTAAAATAGAACGTATACTCCTGTCCAGAAACTGTTTACTTTTGTATGAGATTTGCATTTCTACAGCATACCCAGACTAGGTTGGATGGCTTTCTGTTTGGAATAAACGCCTGTGTGGTGTTAAGCATTCCCTCAGACTCCCTCTGTATAGCTTACAGGAAACTCTGATAACATTCAATGGCAAAGACGTATCAAATATTCAGAAAACCAGAATAAGTCCCGTCCCCAAACTATGTATTTCACTTATTAGTTCAAAGGATCTACTTGGATTCAGTTGTCATACTTCGAAGAAACTAGGAGAAACTGAAGTTCAGACATGGGAAAATTACTGGTTGAGTGATCTAGAACTATGTTTTACCTTGGATGACCAGAGATGTTTTTTGAATAAGCAAGCCTGCCTCATTCTGAGCCCTGCAGCTGATTTCTCCCTGATAATCATTGCTGACATTCAGGATCTGGAGAATCTGACCAGATGCTAACACCTGATAGGGCAGATGGAAGGGATGACCGTCGTAAAACCAAGTGATGTTAGGAATGGGATGACCATTTACTGGGCAGCCTAGAAGATTTAAAGAAAAGCAGAAAAAAATAGGTCAAAACTTAACACACTGGCTAACCACGTATTCCTTGTTATAACACAAACATCTGGGAAATCAAGGTGGACGATGAAACAATGAATCAGCATATTTGTCTATTTCCAGCCTATTTCAGCTTTGAGATCATGAGATTACGTACTTATATGGGAAAGGAAAGAAAAGCAGTTTAGTTTGAAACTGATGGTAAAAATCCTTTCACGAAGAACACTGAGTTCCACCTAGGCCAGTGGTTCTCAACCTTTTTAATGCCGTGACCCCCCCCAACCGGTCGTAAGTCGAGGACTACTCAACCGGTCGTAAGTCGAGGACTACTCAACTGCAAGCACTGTTTGCAGAATGGGACTTTTGGCGGACTCAGCAGGGCAGAGACAGCCTGGACAATTCCTACTGGCTTTCAAAAGCCAATAGAATAAAAGGGAGTAGCACAGCTAAGGAAAAGGGGGAAAAAATGGCGGACTGCGTTGTTTGGTGACCCCCATGAAATGTTCGTTCGACCCCAAATGGGGTCCCGACCCACAGGTTGAGAACCACTGACCTAGGCAAATACGGAGAGCAATCTGAGAAGGAATGAGATGATTCCTTGTAAAATCAACAATTTATTTATTCTCACCCATGTCCACAAAATAGCTCACAAAATTTATGATGAAGACCGCATTGGAGCCAATATCACAGGGAACCTGCTGAGACCAACATTTCATGAAGCAAATAATAGAACAGAATAAAAGAGATGGAGAGGTCTTCTACTCCAACTTCCTGCTCCAGCAGGAGACCCTATAGTATACCATTTCAGACAAATGGTTGTCCAATCTCTTCAGCTGGAGTACCATTATTTCCTGCAGGCACGTTGTTCCATTGATTAATTGTTCTCACTGTCAGGAAGTTTCTCCTTAGTTCTAGGTTGCTTCTCTCTTTGGTTAGTTTCCATCCGCTGCTTCTTGTCCTGCCTTCAGGTGCTTTGGAGAAGAGATCGACTGCCTCTTCTTTGTGGCAGCCCCTGAGATATTGGAACACTGCTATCGTATCACCCAATTTCATATCCTGCAAAGTCTCCTAGAGTGCTACTGGATGTGGGCTATTGCAAATTGCAGTTGGTTTGATCACAGTTATGTTAAAACACAATCGTTGTGTATTTCTAGTACTTAAACTATTAAGAAAACTGGAAAAAGATGAGCTCCTAGTCCAGGGGTAGGCAACCTCGGCTCTTTTACGACTCGTGGACTTCAACTCCCAGAATTCCTGACTCAGGAATTCTGGGAGTTGAAGTCCACGAGTCGTAAAAGAGCCGAGGTTGCCTACCCCTGTCCTAGTCAGGATCATTTTGGTGCCTGCTTTATAAAACACATTCCTCACCCACAACTTATTTATTTTAAAGTAGTCTGCATCCCCAGTCTCTAAAACACACACGGAAATGCACACAATGCCATTTTAAAATCCAGAATGGGCACGTTCAGGCTTTATATATCATTAATTAACTTTATATATAATTTTATGAAGCAAACTCCCACCGAATTTCATTGTGTCTTAATTCTACTTTTCATAGCTACGGCTACATGGTCATCTGGCTTCTCCAAAGAGTTCAGCAATATATCAGGAGGAAAAGCTGTACTTCCATTCACCTTCTCCATTTCTTTCTTCTGGGCAGGGCTGACAAATTAGTCCAGAAGTGAAGAGGAAATCAACGGACAAGTGCTGGGATAATTTTTTTATGCATTTACCCAATAAAGTGCAAAAGGAATAGGTTCCTATCATTACACAATTGTTATAATTAAATAATGGAATGGCTCGCATAATAAGAAGACATGTTCTTATTGTCCAATCTCTGAATCAATGGAGCAAGTTGTCTTACGCTCTCATTCCATAGTCCATGGGAATGAGATATGATAAAAGAAAAACACCAGCTCTCTATGATTCAAAGCTTATGCTTGGATTCAAAAAGACCCTGGTCTGATTTGAGAACTAAGCAAACTTGATATGGAAGTCACTAAGGGAGAAAACAATAAATATGGAACAGCAGGATTTCCTTTTTACGGCTGACTGTATTTCTCTAGTCATAAAAAGCACATTTTCCTGGCTAACACCACTGTCCTTATTACATACCACCTATGAATCAGAGCTTTTTTTTTTTTTTACAGCAACTTGTATTGAAAGTCTGGGTCACTGTCTGGGCATCACTAAAGTGTTTTTTTCTTTTGCCTTCAAGTTAGTCTTGACTTCTGGTGACTGCACGGACAAATTCATACAATTTCCTTAGCAACATTTTTGGAAATAGTTTGGCATTCCGTTCTTCCTATGACTAAGTAACTGGTTCAAAGTTGGCTTTGTATCTAAGGCAGGACAAGAACTGACAACCTCTCCATTATCAGCCTGATGCCTTTAGCAACCATAGCAAACTGGCTCTCCATCATTAAAATACACAGGCGTAAAAGAAGAGGTTTATTAAACATAGCGCTCAGTTCCAACAACAGACCACTTCAGCAATTCATAGTAGTGTTTATCCCATAATGATAAGGATTCATTTGGTATTATGCTTTCTGTCACAAAGAACCTTTCTCCAAATTTGACTCAATAGCAGCTAACCATTTAAAAAGTGTGAGGCTGGTGAAGTAGGTATCCCAAGCGTTGCTTTTTCCTCTTGAGTCTGCTTCTATAGCTTCAATATTTCTGGAGGAAAAAACCTGCTTTATTCTGGTTCCATATGTCTGAATAAAGAACTGCTGTAATCATGCAGAGCAAGGTCAGCAAATCAGATTTTAATACTTTTTAAAAACACCTTCTCCTGTCAACTGATTATTTCTTTGCCCAAGCTCTGATATCAGAACTAACTTAGCTAAGTAAAATGTTCCTGAAGTGGAACTGGGGAAAAAAAAGAGGGTCTTAATTTATCTCCTTTTTTTCTGTTATACTGCCCTCTGCCACCATCTTTTTCTGTTTAACTAAAAGGGTGAACAGGTAATTTCAGGGAAATATGGCCAACCATCAACTTATCTACCATTTCATTTACCATCCAGCATATCTTCAATAGTAAACTAACGAACAAAAAAGTCCACTTTTCTTTCTAATAAAATTGCAACAATAAAAAGAAAATAACCTTACTTTTTCCATTAAAATATTTCTTTTTGCTTGGGGGAACGAACCATAATTTTGTAACAGGATTATATTTTTCCCCCCTAACTACAGAGTTGGAGATCAAATTATTTTTAAAATTTGAAATGGATGATTGACAAAACATTATTAAAACGATAGCATTTCAGAATTGCTTCAGGCACCTGTTTACGAAGAGCTGATAATGTATAAATGCAACCTCTCTCTTGAGTTATATAATAGTACAAATCAGTAGTTGCTAGGGATAGATTTACAGTCCTTGATTGAAGTGTTACTTATTAATTTCTCTTGAAATTTGTGAAATCTGCTTCATTCCAAACACTGCAGGGTAGCTTATTGCTTGGCTGGATTATAAAGAATTTATATATTAAAAATGATAACACGAGAGAGAGAGATTTTTGGGCACTGGAGTAGTGCTGATTTCTACCATGCAACTTTCTCAAAATATTTCTTCCTTTGAAAAAGAGGATTTATCATTATTTTTTTAACCTTATTCTCAACACACTTGAACAACTCTTTCAAATTTCTCTTCATGGTGTTTTTGAGTTTATTGCTGAAAGTGATGGAACACAAAAGAATGCAGTCGATGCATATCTTTCCATCACAAATGAACCTTCCGGATTGGCTAATTTCCTATCTGAAACCAACCAATCAGAAGAGACCCTTGGGATTTAACCAAAATGTAGTCAACCAGTGAGACAAAGACAACTAAAAAAATGACTGCTCAGTGGAAAAGTACTAGCCCACATGCTCTTGTTCACTTTATAATTAAGTGCAAAAAGCATCATAATCCATCTATGTAAATTTCCCTAAAATGCTTTTCTCCTTAGAACAAAATTTCAACAGATTCTTTTTTTCCCCCTCTCACCAAATTGAACTAAGACAAAAAAAATGAAGGAGAATGTTTCCATATAGGATTTGTGGGCATAATTAGCAAGGCATTAGGTCAACATGCTTATCAAAGACATTCCTTCAACCAAAATGACATAGTGAGCTTTGTGATGTCAGTTCTCTCTCTTAAGTTTGTGCAACATTATGTTACATGTACAAAATGGGTAAAGGTAATGTTAACTGGGTGAACTTTGTGCCCCCTTTCCTCCCCTGAGGATGCTGTTGCCTCCAGTCACTATAGTCATTACTCTTGATAAACTGAGAACAACTTGGCAATAAAGATCTTGTGATTTACAACCCTGATTAATCAAGGTACTAGATAAGTAGAGAATCTGGACTGGCTCTCAGTCGATAAGTAGCAGATAAGTAGCAAGGAACTATAGTTCACTCATCCTTCTTCTCTTATACCAGGGGTAGGCAACCTTGGCTCTTTTATGACTCGTGGACTTCAACTCCCAGAATTCCTGAGCCAGCATGGCTCAGCTTGGAAACCTCTTCCTTTCTCCTCAGCATGGCTGGCTCAGGAATTCTGGGAATTGAAGTCCACGAGTCATAAGAGAGCCAAGGTTGCCTAGTCCTGTCTTATACATTCTTATAGTTAACTTAGAAAGTGAATGAGGAGTGCGCAGGGTTTCTTTATTTTTCATTTTAGCCATTGGTTTATACATACTTGATTTCATTAAATTATCATATGCCAGGAAGATCATATTCCTGGGTATCTAAGAACATATGTGGGAGAGGACACACTTGGGACCACTTATTAGACATATCCAGAATTTTCTGCAGAGCAAAATTTGAAAATATTTCAACTTGGGACTAAAGAGTCAGATTCATACTTTTGGCAAAACAGAAGTAGCCCTTATTACTTGCAGCATCTTTATTTGATAGGTAATTAATCTACAGCTGCTATTTTTTAATAACCCTCCAGAAGCTTGCAAGTACAAACCCTAAATAAATTATTTTTCACCTAGAGAAAGAGAAGCCAACATGTTCTGGGCAAAATTCCTTGCAATAATCACAGAGCATTACAGTACATTGGGGAGTAGATTTCTACTTAATCTTCAACAAAAAAAGAAAAACAATTTACCAGCCGCTATTTGTATTTGAAAATGAAGCTGATGTAAATGAATTGTGTTGGACCATGCACTCATGTAACCATTTATTTCCAGCCTCTTGGGGGTGTGGAGAATAGATTTAGGACAGGTAGCTTTTTAAAAGGGTGGAACTTACCTATGAGCACAGAGCTTCCTTGGCTTAATATTTTTCTTGTTCCTGAAGGAGACGTGATCACCGAAGGAATGCCTGGCCCCACGAGTGACAGAGTGGTTGCCATGTCTTCAAATTGAGGGGGGAGTTGTGGTGGATCTGGGAATATATTAGAGAGACAATGATACAATAAGGAACTTTCTCCCTATAAAGGAGATTAATGCCTAATGTTGTTTAGTAATCCGTTCAGATAAATCTTGGTGAAATGAATTCTGAGAAAAGGCCATTTTTTAAAAACTGCACGCCAGAGAGATGGATAAGAAAGCAATAGAGAGAGAGAGATGGAAGAGGAATTCCTACAAGCTAAGAAAACTTGTGTCAACAAAAATTAAAAAAAAAAACAAAACCAAAACATGGCCAAAGTCATACCCTGAAAAATAAGATCTGCCAAAGGTATTGATGTATGATTTGGGGAAGGCACCCAGGTTTCTAAAGGGGCACACTTCATCAACAAATCTACAGTAGGTTTTGCTTAGTCTAGCCTGCTGTCTTTCTCTTCTCAAGCAGTATGGAGTAAAAGTGGCACAAGCATGTTATTAGGTAAGGAAATCCATCACTGAGTATCATAAATCAGTCCCAGGAATACATTACCCCTCAGCCTCTGGACCTGACAATGCCTTTCTAAATCACCCAGCTAAATTTAAACTGTTTCCTATTGGGAAACATAAGACAAAGTAAACTTCACCCTTCGATGACCTGAGTCCCTCCTTTTTTGTTGTATATTTTTTTTAAAAAGCTGGCAGGCTGAGTTTATGCATTTGTCAGCAAGGTGTGAAATTGGTACAGTGTCACTCGGTGATTTATTACAGGCCCTGCTTCTCCAACAACACTGGGACAGAAAACAGGAGGATAGTGTTTTCAAGGAGGGAAGCTGGCTATGGAGACACAATCCCTTCTGCCTTCAGCCACTGCCAGAAGACCTCCCAAAGTTAATTGATCCTCCCCAAACCCTGAACCTAGTGCAGGGGTTGTCAGTACAGGTTTCAGGGATGTCAGTGGGAGTTGGGGATGTGTATGAGATTTTCAGCCAGGTTTAAAGGTCTGGCCCTCCAACGCATTTCATGTTAATTGGGGGACAAGAGTAACAGAATTATATTGCAAAAAATAAAACATATATAAAAAAGTATATGAATAATAATACATAAAGCGTAAAAAAAAAGAAGAAAGAAAGAAAAAAAAACAATCATTACAAGTTATAGAAAAGCTAAATAATATTTTTCCATATCCAAATTATGTTGTATAAAATTTATCCATTTTTCCCATACCGCAAAAAATTTCTCTTGGGATTGCTCCTTTAAAAAAGCCGAAATCTTTGCCATTTCTGCCAAATACGAAACTTTATAAAACCACTCTTGTAAAGTAGGCAAGGATTCCTTCTTCCAATATTGTCCTATTAACAGCCTAGCGGCTGTAATCAAATTTAACATCAATATAACCTCCTTAGCATCACAATCAATAACAATACCTAATAAAAATAATTGCGGAGTATATATTATTCATCTTAAAGCTTATGTTATGTATATTATTATTATATATATTATGATTACGATTTTTATTATTATTATTAATTATCTTATAAATTGTAAACGTTATTTTTAAAATTTGTTAAATAATCCTATATTCAGTTCTGGGAAGTCGGGGGGGGGGTGGGGTGGTTTGGGAGGGGGGGTGGATGTTTATCTGTAAAATTTCTGAAAAAATTCAAAAAAAAAAAAAAAAAGAGCCAAGGTGCTCAACCAAAAAAAAAAAAAAAAAAAAGAATTATATTGCAAGGACATTTGTTATGGATACGCTCTTTTAATTCACAGCCATTAGCGGCTTCCCCTCTGTTGTTGTTGTTTTTTTGAACAGCAGAGATTTCTTTCGGTGGCACCACTACATAAGACAAGTTAATTTTTATCCTCGCAGTTGTCAGGTAAGAGCAAAGCTGAGGGAAATGGCTGGTCTGAAGATGGGAGAGATGAATGGTCCTTGAGCCCCTCTCCCTGATGCACCCCCTAAATGTTTTTTTACATCTTGGTTTTCCACACAGTCTCAAATGGACTCAAAAATAAAACTCACTGAGTTGAATTACATTTATTAGCAGGAAAATATTTTGGAATGCTGCCTTTCATGGTTCAACCGTTTAAGTGTCAAGATAGCATTCTCAGCCATTGCCATGTGAAACGATTATAACAATATTCCAAAGATTAGCTTTACTAGGCAGTTTCCTTAAAACAAGTCCGAAGTGGAGAAATTGGAATCAACGACAAAAACTTTAATGTGTCTTTCAGGAGACAAATGTCATCAATGGCTGCCCCATCTGGGTTGGAAAAAAATCTGGGTGACCATCAGAAGACAAGGGAAGAGGCACAGAAAACAGTTACTACAGTATGGGTAGTCCTCGGCTTACAACCACAACTGAGCCTCGATTTTCCATCATTAAGTGAGTTTTGCCCCATTTTACAACCTTTCTTGCCATAGTTGTTAAATGAATCACCACAGTTGATATGTTAGTAAGTGAACCTGGCTTCCCCATTGACTTCGCTTGTCAGATGGTCACACAAGGTGATCACATGATCCCAGGGACACTGTAACTGTCATAAACATGACCCAGTTGCCAAACATCTGAATTTTGATCACGTGACTGTGGGGGGGACGCTGCAACGGTCAGAAGTGTGAAAAACAGTCGTACGTTACTTTTTTTCAGGGCGGTTGTAACCCTGAATGGTCATTAAATGAACTGTTGTAAATAGAGGACCACCTGTATTATCTAGTAGTCTTACACAGACTGTGGTAGCCCAGATTTGGTAGCACTGGGCATAAAATTACGATATGCATTATTTAAAATGAAAATTGGATCAGTTTTCCAGTGGAGGGGGAAGAGTGTCAATAAAGAGCGGGTTTCAAGCATGTGAAGAGGAGGAAAGCTATCATTTCATCAAAGCCCAATTCTGAGAAACATGTTTGCTATGGGATCCAAGGACATTTGTGAAAAAAGTCCTGTTAATTATCAATTGGAAAACTGGTCCTAACAGAATTACTTTTTGGAGAAGCTTGATTCTTCTCATGATTTTTTTTTTCTTCCATTCAATCATGTTCAGTTCTCAGTGACTGCCTGGACATGTCCATGTCCCTGCAGATCCCCCCTCCCTTTTCTTAACAAGGTTTTCCCAAAATGGTTTGTCACTGCCTCCTTCCTAGGGATGAGAGAGACTGACTAGTCCAGGGGTAGGCCACCTTGGCTCTTTTATGACTCGTGGACTTCAACTCCCAGAATTCCTGAGCCAGCTGGCTCAGGAATTCTGGGAGTTGAAGTCCACGAGTCATAAAAGAGCCAAGGTGGCCTACCCCTGGACTAGGCCAAGTCCATCCAACTGGCTTTGTCACAGTCTTCCATTTTCTAACCTGATGCCTTAACCACTACACCGGATTGGCTTTCCTTCTCATGATAAAAATATCAGTACGAAAGACATAAACTCCTGATGCCTTTAGTGCTCCCATTATTAATCGGTTCCCCTCTCCAGGAAATGCAGTTTTCATCAAAGAAAACCTGTATCTTAAATACAAATATATTTAAAGTATTTTGATCCTTGTTGATTTCCCCCAATTAAATTACGCTACACAGCCGCGCATCCTTTGATCACGGGCTTTTTGGTTGGAGGGAAAAAAAATGACAAAAGATATTAATTCTCAAAAAGATTACATACTTTAACTTACCGAGGACTAATAGCTGTGTGCTTTCTGTTACTTCCCCGCGGATGTTGGCAGCCCTGCAAGAATACGACCCTTGGTCTGAGATAGATACATTTCGAATCAGTAGGGACCCATCGTGGATGTGAAGGTCAGTGGCCAGCTTGGTTTTATTCCTGAACCAAGTAAGTTCTGCCTCGGGCACACCTGATATAGGAACACAATGAAAGAGAGAGGCAGAGAGAAACACAAAGAATATCCACGGTGAACCTTGTGCAAAAGCATTGTTGTAGGGTACCAGAGCAACCCATTGTTCCGCGGTCCATTTTGTTGTAGTCTAACAGTGCAGAAATTTGTTTTAAAAAATGTACGAAAGCTCCAGATATGTTGCTTTCGTCTTCCACGCTTTACAAAAATTTGAATTCTCACGTTATTTAATTGACAAATAGCCTCTTTCGTTGGGTTTTTTATGGCTTTTATACAGGCGATCCTCAACTTACAACATTTGTTTAATGACCAGTTAAGTTATAATGACACTGGAAAAAAGTGATTTATGACTGGTTTTCACACTTACGGTCATCCCCATGGTCACATGACCAAAATTCAGGTGCTTGGCAACTGGCATGCACTTATGACAGTTGCACTGTCCCAGGTCATGTGATCGCCATTCCCAGCCGGCTTCCAGCAAGCAAAGCCAATGGGGGGAAGCCAGCTACATTTTATGACATGATTCACTTAACAACCTCAATGATTCGCTCAACAATTGTGGCAGAAAAGGTCACTAAATGGGGCAAAACTCACTTAACAACTGCCTTGTTTAGCCCAAAATGGAAATTTTGGACTCAGTTATGGTCGTACTTATAAGTAACTATAAAGTATATTTGATATACTTTATTTATAATTATGAAGATTCCAAAGGTTACATTTAACCTTCCCAAAGAAAGGGAAAACATACAAACGAGTTTTCCTGAACACGGTGCGTTTTCCCTTCCCCAAATCATCAGCAGATACTGTACTAGTTGTACTGCTGCTATTTCTGAGGTATTTCTGTCATGGAGAAAACACACAGTAGCTCCGCCTTTTCTGATCCTCTTTTCCATATTTGTAACCCCAAGAGAAGTTCAACTACCCTGCAATGGAGACAGTCCTTTCAAAAGAGGACCGTGCCTGGCCTGGTCTTCCTCTTGCTGGAATGTAGAGGGAGATTGTGTACAGGTAATCCTCATCTTACAAGCACAACCGAGCACAATGTTTCTGTTCCTAAGCAAGAGCAGAACACGTTAGGTGAATTTTGCCCCATTTTGTGACCATTTCTTGCCACGTCTGTTAAGTGAATCACTGCAGTTGTTAAGTTAGTAACACGGTGGTTAAGTGAATCTGGCTTTCCCGTTGACTTCTCTTGTCAGACGGTCACAAAAGGGGATCACGTGACATGACCCCAGGACACTGCAACCGTCATAAATATGAAGCAGTTGCCAAGCATCGGAATTTTGATCGCATGGCCCCGGGGATGCCCCAATGGTTGTTAAGTGTAAAAACCGGTCATAAGTCACTTTTTTCAATGCTGTTGTAAGTTTGAATGGTCACTAAATGAACTGTTGTAAATCAAGAACTGCCCGTAATCTCCCTTGTCCTATAACTTGGAACTAGCCCTCGATTGCTCTTATCATTATTAGTGGAACTAGTTGCTCCACACAATTAAGTTTGTTAAGTATATATCCTTTCTCTTTTGTCCTACGGTTGGCCAAGCTTTAAGGGCCAATTTTAACTAGGGAATTAGCGGGGGAAGATCTAATTTCTCTCTTCCAATGCTTTGGCCCTAATCCAGCCTCTGCTTCATTGGTTGTCAAATAAAAATGGAAAAAAAATAAGTTGGGAGATCCAGTCTGATCTTCCTGATGACATCTAATTTCACTCTTACCGAGGTGCCTATGGCAAAGAGAGACATTTAATCTGATGTAGCAACCTTGCATCGGTTGGGAATTGCCATAAATGATTGTACTTTTATCTTCTGCCAGTGTGTTTTTCCTTATCCTCACCATCACTCACTCTTTTGCTTCCATCATTTTTTTTAAAAAAAATCTTCTTGTTTACTTTCATTCCCTTCTCCTGTGGTCTCCCTCCGTTATGCTAAACAAAGGTGTGTATGGATTTTTGTTTTCGGTTTCTGGAGGAGGGAGTTACTTCTTCTTGTTGATTTTATTTCTGCAAATTCTGGGACTCAAGAGTGAAGAAAACACACTGTTACTTTTCAGTGGCACTATTCTGTACACAAAGATTTTGGCATAGGCAGCCTGATATTGTCACAATTGGTACCTCTGGATCCAAAAGTGATGTAGGAACGATTCACTAATTTGTTGTCATTAAGGATTATCCTTGTGGTGGGCTACATTATCCATCAAGTACAAAGTATTATTTTCCAACCCTTGTTCTATCCAGTTCTTTTTTGCTCTTATAGCTCACTCCTCTGTAGGTCCCAAAGCCAGAAGGGTTCAATATGGAATAATACCTTATAAGCCATTCTCTCATATTAGCTTACAATTTCCTCCTTTCTCCCCATAAATTCAAAGATGGCTGAAGGAAAAACACTTAAGGCTTTACTCTATGATAATCCAGAAATGTCAGTAAAGTTGGCAACTCTGATCCAAACTGGACATGGTTTCTGGTTTCATTGGCTCCTGCTTGTTTCCAAGCCTAATGCCAAGGCCTGGTATTAACCTGCAACATCTTTCAAAGCAGGAAGCCACAATTTCTGAATATATTCCTGAGTCCAGAAATAAAAATATATGTGACAAACCACTCTGTACACTAAAATATGAGAGAGAGTAGACTTTTAAAAATTATTTTGATTATTTTTTTAAAATTATGGATTGCTTTCCCCCAAATATGAGCTCTTTAGTAGGTTTACTCAAAATAGACAAGTTACGCTGCTCATAAAAGGCTACGCTGCTCACAAAAGCTTGGTTCACAGGCACTTCCCTGATGTTCTAGTATGTTTGCTGTTCTTTGTTATTCTGACTTGCGCTAATATAGATTTCCAATTTTGCTGTAACAAACATCTCTAGCCTTAGGACAGAGTTCACCATATAGAACCTGATGCCTTATGTTGCCTTATCAGATAAGCTACATTTCAATCTTCAGTTGTCCAGTATAAATACTTTCTCCTGAAATCACAGTCGGAAAGCAGGTAGATCCATGGTTCATTTTTTTGGTAAAATAGAACTAAAGTGTCCTATGGTTAACTGAAGATTAAGGCCTTCGTGGTGAATAAGTGGAAATGATGGCTGTTTTATCATGCTCCACATCCATGAAATTGCCTTACACTGATTTAAATGATTGTTCCATCTCACTCAGGGCTGACATGCAGCAACTCTAAGACCTCAGGCCATGCCTGAAGCTATATTTCAGATCTGCATTAAACTATGTTTTTTCCCACTGATGAGCATTGCAGAGGATCCCAAACAATCCAATAAAATGTTTTAGTTTTCAAACTGGATGCAATGAAATCTAAATGCAGGGCTTTTAGCCTGCTTATTAATATAGTTATAACAGACCTGCAATTTGGCAGTTAATGGTCACATTTATCCCTGGAATTGTTTTCACTGTGCTTCCGATATCAACAGAAATAGTTGGCAAGTTCTGATTGGTTACGGTGGTTCTTGATGTCTTTATCAGCGGTTTCCCTGAAAAGAAACCATGAATTATAAAACAAATAAGACAAGAAACAAAGCATAGGCACAGTTATAATTGATTAATAAAGGAGAATATTTGTAGCTCAGGGTTGAAATGAGGGATCCTTGGTGCTCTCTGAGCTTGCTTGTTTTTGATGCTGAGGATGTTTATCTAGTTTGGGTAATGAAACAACTGCAAGAAAATAAGCAAGCTCAGAGAACAAAAAGGACCCCTCATTACAACTTATTTATTTCTCAGTTTTATACCAGTAAATGATTTCTGCTGAACTAAGCAATGAAAACAGCATACAAACCTGGTTACTAAGACAAATGGAAGTGAAATACAATGGAAATAATAATCTTGGGAGAGACAGTTTCAAGAATCATCGGCAATTTGTATATGATCGTAAACAACATGTCAGTTTATAAACAGATACTTGATAAATATCTTTTGCTTTTATAATATATTATATGTATTAAGATTTATTCTGTAAAATTCCCTTGAACAAGCAAATTGGCTGCAGAACGAGAGAAATGAAAGCTGGTTGCATCAATAAATCAGAGTGTAATTAAAGCTATTATCTGCCTAATTAAAACAGTCTTGACATTTAATTGTATGCAGATACTAGACTCACTTCGATTATTTCTGTAATGCTAATTTAAGTTATCCTAATGTTTTTCCTTAAGGTCTTATGTACTTAATTCTCATCTTTTATTGGAAATTTCCATGTGGGGCCCCTGGTCTAAATTGATCTAAAATAAGAATGCTGCAAAGTGTAATGAATTGTAGAAATTTCATGTTATGGGGAGGGAGGCAGGGTGAGAGAAAATCCGAGAACAAATATAAACCTCAATGCAGATTCACCTGCATTCTGGTCATCCACTTCAGAAAATTGTAGTGTGGGTTAAGTTCTGAATGCTGGCTGATTTTGTGGAGGCTTCTATGTGAGCTTGTTCATAGGCCTTCAGAATGTGAAGTGGGTGAGGTTGCATAATTGATGAACTTGGGCCAAGACAGGAGCCTATAATGTCTAAACAATTAATCCCTTATAAGTCTACAATAGCAGGAAGGGGAAAGAATTGGCACGGAAAGGATGGCTGTAAATTGAGGAAGAGGAAAAATTATGGGAGCTTTAGTTGGCAGCCTCAACTAAAAATATGGAAATCTGATTTTGTTTCTGTGCCTCCCCTTCCCCCAATACATATGTCACTAACACAAATCCATAAGCCATCATAACAGCTAAAATATACTTTATGTGTAACAGACTGTATTTCAATCCCCATTCTGTAGAAGTAACCCACCAAAGCATGGCTGTTGGGCAGCTTTTGTTTATATCACTTGTATGCAGACTCCTTTAAATGTCAATATAACGAAATATCCAGCCACAAACATGTTCTACTGAGCCATGAAAAGTTCACACAGTTCTCATTTTTTATTGGGTACTCCTAAATCACAGAGAAAGAGAGACCTCAACTGGCAACTGGTCTTTTAATTCACTGTTTCTTTTTTTGTGATCTCCTCATTAGATTATATACTTGTCTGCTGTTAGCCTATAAAAAGTAATTTGTCATTCCAAAAATGGAAACATTTGCCCTCTACAAATTCATGTGTTAAATTAATCAATGAGCCAAGTGTTTCATTTAGCTTGAACAAAGATTGCCCACTTCCTCTGAGAAATCCAGGCCTCCCCTTCTTCCCCACAATGTTGTTTTAATTGCACATTATCACATTCGTACAACTTGGTATCCAGATTTGAAGCTGCTGAATGACTGGATACCTGTGGCTCGTGTTTGACAGATGAGGCTATTCAGAAGCTGCCCAAAAGCAGCTTTGCATCTAGAAAATTTGACCCAGGAGATTTTGCATTTCCTAATTTGTTTGCATGAGAAAATGAAATCAAGGCACGGACTATTTTATTAGAAAAAACTGTTGCTGGTTACTGAAAACCTGCAAACAATTTAAATGTGTGTGTGTGTGTCTGTGTGTCTTATGAACCTACACAAATGCACATATCAGACAGTGATTGATTAGGCTCCATAAATTGGCTTGGATCAAAACTGTGGTTTGAAGGAAGAGGCTTTCCTTCCAAAACTCTAGTCTAAAGTTAAAGCCTCTGGAATGTGCCCATCGGGAATATACAAACTGCAAAGACTCTTTGCAGCCTGGATTGCTATGCTCTGTTGAAAGTGATAAACTTTAAAACTCAAGCATTTACCTGGATCAGGATGGATTAATTACTTCAATGCTTTATGTTGTGTTGCTGTTAAGTCTATGTTGTTTTACCATATTTGTGTTTTTAAGAAGAAAAAGCTGTATTGATGTTGTTGTTGTTTTTGAGAGGAGGAAATATTCCTAAAGTAAGCATGGGGTGGATAGGGGATCTATCCGCCACAATGAATGTAAAAGTGAAGTTTAATGATGAGAAAATAGTTTGGTGAACTGACTTTCTTAGAACTGTCAGCCTGATCAACATTTTTGGAGCAAAACCCACTGGGGACCTACGTAGAAGTCTGCGTGCAATCCTTCTTAAATCCTTTTACTGGAGTGATCTTGGTGTCTAAAGCAAACTGGGAAGCATGTATCAAGCCATGATTTTTGATCTTGGATTATTTAGACTGACTATAGTTTAAATAAAGTTTCTACTTTGGACAAATTGATTAGTTCAAAACAGAATAAATCTGATTTTGTGCCAGAAAAAAAAGGATGGTGGTGAGGTGGCAGCTGTGCACATGCAATACTAAAATAATTTAAAATTATGCCTAAATTAGATCAAAATCTGGGTCCTGGGTGAGAAAAAAGTATCAGTTAACTATTTGTCTGAAGTAGCTCCATATACATTGGTTTAAATAATATGACTGCATCCTAACCTTTAAGTACTTCAGATGGCAAGGTGAAAATTCTGCAGCACTATGCAAATTTGTTTCTAATTTCCGTGGCTTATAACTATAACATCAACAGGCTGTTTTTCTTTCCACACAAGACTATCACACTGCCATTTGTTTGGCAATCCTACCTATACCCATAATAAGGACATACAGTAAGGAACTAAGAAACTCTAGGATTTTTAAAGTTTGAGATGATACCTATATCCTATATGTTTATATGCGTGCACACTCACATGGGTCTTAGAATGCAGTTGCCTAGACTAAGTTCTGCAGTTTTCTTGATGTATTTTTGGAAGTGTCTTTCCATTGCTTTCTTCTGAGGGTTGACAGGGAATGATTGGCCCAAGGTCAATCAGCTGACTTTGGGCTTAAGGATAGGCTGGACTAGAACTCATAGTCTCCTGTTTTCTAGCCTAATGTCTTAACTACTACAGTAAACTGGCTGTCTTATTACTTCAGTCTCCTTTGCATAAGTTCTATAGTTTATGTTTATCCCAGAACTTTTATATATAGCATATTGATTCATGAATTCAGCTATATATATATATATATATATATATATATATATATATATATATATATATATGTGTGTGTGTGTGTGTGTGTGTGTGTGTGTGTGTGTGTGTGTGTGCGCGCGCGCGCGTGTGTGTGTGTGTGTGTTTTCTGAGGTTTTCGTGGGTGTTTGTATGTAGGTCTTTGGTTATTCAGGTTTTCTCCCGCGTAAAATTGGAAGTGTCTTGGCGACGTTTCGACGAAGTCCCATTCGTCATCTTCAGGCTGGTGTTTTCAACTTCGTGCTTCTGAAACAACTCGCCGTTAGTTTCTGTCTGGAAATCCCGAAAGCCATCAAATATTGAACGAGCTGGTCTGCGTCTTTTTGGTGCACCAAATAAGCTGCGCCTGCGCAGTAGGACGAGCAGGTGGTGAGTGTTGTTCGGTGATTGAGGCGGCAAGATGGCGGCGCCTGGGGGCTCTGCTGCCGCCTCAGTGTTGAAAGGGTTAATTCAGCAATTTACCGCCATCACGGGTGCCAGTGAAAGTGCAGGCAAATATATGCTTGAAGCATGCAACAATAATCTGGAAATGGCTGTCACTATGTTCCTTGATGGTGGAGGCATTGCTGAAGAACCCAGCACTAGTTCTGCAAGTGTATCAAACCTGCGACCGCATACAGAAGATGAAGTGAGGGCACTTATTCCTCAAAAACAAGAAATTCTGGTAGAACCCGAACCCTTATTTGGTGCACCAAAAAGACGCAGACCAGCTCGTTCAATATTTGATGGCTTTTGGGATTTCCAGACAGAAACTAACGGCGAGTTGTTTCAGAAGCACGAAGCTGAAAACACCAGCCTGAAGATGACGAATGGGACTTCGTCGAAACGTCGCCAAGACACTTCCAATTTTACGCGGGAGAAAACCCGAATAACCAAAGACCTACCTATCTATCTATCTATCTATCTATCTATCTATCTATCTATCCATGTTCTTAGAAATAGCCTACTAAGATAGTTTCATTCTCTCAAGTTAAAAGAACTAGGAAGACAGGCGCCTCATATATTTGGGGAAATGCACACTTTGCTTAAATACGAGTGGTAGTACCGGGAGCTGTTTTTCTTCTGTCTACTTGTGAAATTCTAGAGGCCCTTTATTGCAACTGTTCATCTAAATAATTAAGGCCACATTATACAGAGCAAATGTACTGATATGTAGCCAAAAACTGTTGATGCTGATTTGCAATAGCTAGCAGTTCTCCAGGTTATTAGGTAGCACTTTTCAACAAGAGGGGATCCAGATTCTGACCTGACACCTCCTGTGTGTAAAGCATGAGATCCATGACAGAACCAAATTCCATTTTGGACAAAACAATCTGGAACAGATGAACTTTTGGAGTGATCTAACTAGGCTCTTTTTATTTTCTCGTTCTGTAACTTTGCATGTTACTAAAGCTACTTGCTGGCCAAACACCTAAAAGAGTTTAAAGCAAGAACGATCTCATAGTGTCACTGCTCTTTCAAGAAAGGTTTTCATTAGTGCTGATCCAAGTGAACAAAGATTTAATTTGTCATAGAACTGAACTGTTGGTGTAAACAAGAAACTTAATCTGTTCTGAGCTTTCCCTGGCCGGTGAGGGGAAGTGTGCCAGCCATGCTTTGGCTGCATCAGGGGGGGGGGGGGAGCTTGACCTTACAAGATGTTGACTGAGCAGATAACATGCAATCCAACTAATTATTTGGAGCAATGCTTAACTTCAGGAATATGAGGAATCTCACTGACTCTCATGAGCTCACTATTAAAATTTGGCTGCAGCTCTAATGAGATGTCTGGCTCTTCTACAATTCAATCTAAGAGAGAAAGATTTACAGAAAAATTGGAGCCACCACCAAGCATAAAAAATAGTAATAACACATCAAAACATGCCACTCTGATGGATTTAACAAATCAAATCCGTACCATTCTATTAAAAGGAGAAATAGTCATAAGAGCAAAATATGGCAGAGAGATCAGACCAAAATATAGGGTGTGCAAGTTGAGCATACAGATAAAAAAAAATTTTTTTTTTTAGATTTTTGGCCTAAACGTTTAATAAAGGTAAATCCATTACTGTTTTATCATTCTTTTGGTGAAGACATCAGTATATTTCAGCAGCCACTGAATGCTTGAATCTTCACATTTGAACCAAAATATCAAAATCAATTACTCTCGCCCCTGAAATGTATAGAGATGACAGGAGTGGGAACATGGAATGAAAAACACGGTGCGTTTTTTAATATTACTGTCTTAAATAATCATCTCCGCAATAATATTAAAATATAAATGCCAGTGTATATTAAAAAGAAAACTACAAGACGTCCCAGAATTAAGCAATTTAAAACTCCTCTTTTTGTATATCGAAATGTTAATATTCCCATATCACCAGCCTCTTGTTTTTAGGGTTGCTTAGCTTCAGAGTCTCAGTCTCAGTGCCTAGTGGAATTCTGAAGGTGGAGGGTTCTGATAGGACAGGGGACCAGTACTGGGCCTCAACATGCCAGCAACCGGTCCGCATAAACACGCAAAGCACCATCTGGGGGATGCAGGCAGCACACAAAACAGCGCATCCTTCAGTCCATGGAAAAACCTCTCTCTACGGAACTGGTCCCTGGTGCCCAAAAGGTTGGGGACCTCTGTGATAAGAGATGCTAGCTACCAAACTGAGGACCAATCATAATGGATCAAGATACAGAGGTTAAAAAACACAGGGCTTTTTTTGTCATAGAACCGCCCAGAACGGAGTTCCGGCACCTTTTTTGGATGGAACCTTGTAGGATAGGCAAGGCAGGTTGTATGACGTGTGTGAGTTCTGGCACTTTTTTTTTTTAACAAAAAAAGCACTGAATATACATATAGTAAAGCATAAATCAGAGTACTTCCTAGATCTGGCACCTGACTTCAAGACTACTTCTGGAAATTCTAAAATAGGTGTACTATATGTTTTAGAATCTCAAAATAATGCCAAACCTAGTTCTTGGCAACGCTCCTTAACATAAAGAAAAGCTCCATTCAAATTCTTCCGTCCTTGAATATACTTTGCACGTGAGAAACCTAAAATAAATTCTACAAAACTATAAGCTTCACCAATTCTATTTAAACTGCTACAGCTCTCTTTACAAATAATCCTAGAAAATGAAGGAATGAAATATATCAAGCTAGCATTTAACGTCTTATGAAAGTTTTAAAGCAAATCATCAAAATGCGGGAAAATGTCAATAAGCCAAATTAAAGTTAAATAAAATTAAACAATTCCAGCCTTGGTAGGATTTTTAACATTGGAGGTTATCTTGCTATATGCTTGTGCTTAAAACTGCAAAAACAGGAGGATTTCCATGCTGTGTAATATGCCCTAAATGTGTTACCTGCTAATGTGATGGCAATGGAGACAGAGTCAGATCCCAACACATTAGTTGCGTTGCAAGTATAGAAGCCTACATCAGCTTCGACCGGTTCTAGGATTTGCAAGGAGTCATCTGGTTGAAGAAGAATCCTGCAATGACAGAAAAATATATTAAATCTTAAAATTGGATGCCACACAACACTTCTGGGTAAGACCCCCCAGAAGGGGAAAAGAAAAACCACTAGCCAAAGGTTAAATTTCTTCGAATAATTGTATTCAGAATGACATTTTTAAAAAGATTTTTTAATCCTGTTTTTTCATATCTTCCAATATCTCGGGGGTTGCCACAAAGAAGAGGGAGTCAAGCTATTCTCCAAAGTGCCTGAAGGCAGGACAAGAAGCAACGGATGGAAACTAATCAAGGAGAGAAGCAGCCTAGAACTAAGGAGAAACTTCCTGACAGTTAGAACAATGAATCAGTGGAACAACTTGTCTCCAGAAGTTGTGGGTGCTCCAATACTGGAAGTTTTAAAGAAGAGACTGGACAACCATTTGTCTGAAATGGTATAGGTTCTCCTGCTTGAGCAGAGGGCTGGACTAGAAGACCTCCAAGGTCCCTTCAGCTCTATTCTATTCTATTCTATTCTATTCTATTCTATTCTATTCTATTCTATTCTATTCTATTCTATTCTATTCCATATATAACTCAAGATGGCAAATACACAGTAACAGCACTATTTATTTATATTGCACCTTTATTATTTTTACAAACCACTCAAAGTGGAGAACACAAGGAATTTGTCTCCGATGCATAAACTCTCAGTGTGCATACAAATAATAGTGATAATCATCCTCATCCTCATGATTCTTTTTTATCTATGTTTGTTAAAACTGACTGCAAAGTCTTGCAATTTTTGAGGTGGGAAACTTGAGTGGAACTACAAACAGGGCTATCAGAATAAAAACTAAAGAACATCCCTGTATGTCCTAAATAGTGGCTAATCTATGGCTCTGCTGCTTTGTAGCCTCTGCTCAACTGAAAGGTTAAATCACTCCCCCTCCAGTTGAAAAACATTGTAGAGGACAGTGATGAACTACTTCTGTACTATTGCCAAGAACAAGAAAGTCTTCCACATCCCACCAGAGCACAGGGCCACCAAATATTTTTTCTGTGGCCCCCACAGTTGGTGAGTACTGAAGATAGTCCAGCAGATATGAAGAAGTACAGAATAGCAGCTGCTGGATGCAAAGTACAATGCAGCTGGGAGGGAGGGTAACCCAAAGGAGGAAAATTTAAGCAGACTTTTTTTCTTTTTTCTGCTGCAATTCTTCTGCTTCAAGAAGCTGTTTTTCATTTTTTTTTTTAAACAAAGAAAGCTAAACATCATTTCTAATCTGAACCTGAATTGTTGGTTTTCTAATTTACCGGTTGTCTGTATTCTCTGTCACCCATGTTATACTCCGTAATTGCAATTCAGACCTGTGTAAATAACTTTTCAATTGATCTGAACGTAAGGCAGAATAGGGATAAACCAGATGGTTCAGGCAACAAATAAACAGATAAAATGCAAAGGTTGTAGCTGATTTATTCAAGACTGTTGAAAGGATCTCAGAAGAATGAAACCTGATATTTCTTATCTCAGGAGCCATTACATCATTTTTAATGATGCTTTTATACTTGTCTAAAAAAAGAGTACCGTAAACAAAAATTAATAATCTTGATTCATCCTCATTGCAAAGAAAGACTAAAGGTTAAGTATATAATGCAATTCATGCACAATCTCTTTGCACTGTATATGTTTTTCATACTAAATTTGTACAAAAATTGGACCACTGTGCATTTTAGGATGTTTTATGATCAGTTCCATAAACTTTTTTAAAAAAAGGTGTACCCCCAATTGGAAATATCCCAAACAGCTGGAAATCATCCAATTTGATATTGAGCTGAATCTACACAGAGTGGCATCTCGCTACTCATTGTGAATTGGTTCCAGGAGGTACAATGAGTACCAAAAATGATGAGTACCAAACAAATTTTTCCCATAAGGAATAATGTAGTAAATCACAAGGCAACTGATACTGATAAGTTCTAGTCTGTGCGCTGGGTACCAAGTGAACGATGAATACTGGGACAAAATTTGCACATCAAAATGCACTGAGTACCAAATTTGATGAGTTTCTAAGCAATTGAGTACCAAGGTACCATTGTATTATTAAAACTCTTGTGTCTGTAATCTGTAACTGAGCAAAATGGTGCATAATTGGGCAAAACATTTTGAATCAAGGTACCTCAACATATTACAGAATATGTCCAAAACCTGAAATTCATGATACCCGTAGAATTGAAATTTGGTGAATTTTATAAAACATTTTATGACATAAAAAATCATCCTAAAGAGCATTTTAGGACATTATATAGAATGTCTTAAAAAGTTTCCCGTCATCAACTCCTGATATTTGACTATGCTATACAGTTCAACATGGGCTCCTTTCAAAGCAGATACATCTCGGAACATCTTCCTGAATTTTTCAGAACTTTTCAAATCCATTAGAATCTCTGCCGGTGTTAAAGGCATTGAGGAATTCATATACCTCTCTGAAATAATAACCCAAGGGATCATGGGTTGTCTAGTTGTTATTATACACAAAACACATCATTTTCACAACAGAACAATATCTTCTATTTTAATAGTAGGAAATAACGGATACTTCTGAAAAAAAAAATCTTAACAATCTTATGTCCAGTACAATCCTGTCCAAACGAAAAGAAACACAACATCTCCTTACAATGATGAGGGGCTTTGTAAGGAACATATGGACAGGCCTGGGCAGCAGAAGGTAGATATAAACTTTTAAACAATCTTGAAATCAGTCTTGGTATATAGAAGGTTTCAGGGATAATGCCAGAGATTTGGCATTTATGGGTTCAGCTGGTATACTGCGTAATGTCCTTCTGCTGGAGTACTTCCAAATTGGTTTTGCTTGGGTCTCTGGAAGCCTCTGGGTGGCCTTGACCCACTGAGAGACATATGTTTAATATCATGGCTTCCATTGCAAAGTTCTAACCTGCCTCCAATCATTCTTAGGTTGAATTAATGACACAGCCTATAGGCAAATTTGCTTTTCTCACAAGAAAACTGCAGCAGCTGTTTTCCATAACTTCTTTTGTCAGGATGGTAATAGAAAAAAAAAATTGGGGGAGTAGACAAAAGAAGATGAGAGAACTGGAGTGAGAAAGCCCATCCAAATGCAATCAAAGCCTAGTCCCTTACCATGGGTTGATTTTTCCCCCCCTTGAATGAAAACGGCAGCCTCATGAACCACAGAGTTAAGGATATTTGATCTCCCTCACAGCACCATGGGTGGCACACTGTAAAGCAAACCAGATTAAGCCCACCCATTGAACATTGTGTTGGAGAGAAAGAGAAGGAGGAAGGAAAAAGCAATGCAAGAAGGCTCCTCTTTCACCATCAGCTTCTTACTAATCATCACAATGTACAATACAAAAATGATCTTAATTGGGATATTCAGAAAGAAATATTAAGTAGACTAATATTTGGTTTTTCCATACAGAGATAATAAACGAGAAGGACATTTCCAACACAGATGAGAAGGCTTTTACTATTTGTGCAAAAAAACAACAACCCAACAACACTCATATGTGGAAATTCTACAGAAAAACTGGAAACAAGGCTTTGAAAACAGAGTTCTCCAATACTGTAGTTAGGTTTGCTTCACAAATTACATTGTCAGAAATATGTAGTTATATTTCAGATGTGTAAAGGTGTCTAACCCCATAAAGACTTAGTATATCAACGAAGTATTTACATTTATAAATGCATGGAAGTACAAGCTCGTATCTCGAGAGGGTCCCAGCTGCCAATTTCTACATCACGTTTTCCCAAACTGTGTTCCTTTGAACCTTAGGGTTCTACAAACTTGATGGAGTTCGGCGTGAGATTAAGGAGAAAAACCAAAACAATTCAGGAGAAAGAGAAGTTCCCTGAGGATGGGCTCCAGTATAAGTCTGAAAACTTGAAAGAATAAACCTTTGGTCCTGGTGATCAACTCAGATTGGATCCTACAACATTATCCTGGGACATGTGTGTTTGCCTTCATTTGCAAAACAAAACAAGTTCATCAAGCACAACAAATGTTCTATCACTAAAGCTTAGTATGTACATTGAGAGCTTATGCACCGGAGACAAATTCCTTGTCATACTTGCCCCCCCCCCAAATTGAATTCTATTCTATTCTATTCTATTCTATTCTATTCTATTCTATTCTATTCTATTCTATTCCATTCCATTCCATTCCACTCCACTCCACTCCACTCCACTCCACTCCACTCCATTCCACTCCACTCCATTCCATTCCATCCCATCCCATCCCATCCCACTCCTCTTGATCAGGAGCCCAGGACTTAAACAACAAGGTTCCGTGGTCTGAAAAAGTTTGAGTAGCTCTATCCTGCACCATCCTGTTTTGCTTACTTTTTCCTGTTCGTTGCCTTTTTCTTGCTAGCTCCTCCCCTAGCTAGCATGCTGACTGGGAATTTTGGGAATTGAAGCCCACCTATCTTACGCTAGCTAAGATTTGAGAAACGCTTTCTATACAATCAAACCAGAAGAGAAACAACCCCCTCATCCCATCCGGAAGGTGGTGTGAAGTAGCTCTTAGATTAGAAGACAATGCCAATGAATGGCAATGGTGAAAGGAAAGATCGCTTGACTCAGATACACGTGTCGCAAAATCTGGAACTAACAGAAAATTATTTGCTCTCTAACAACGAACAGCACATTGGTGCTCCAATACTGCAAAGGCAGGATTGCTTAAGATATGAGAAGGTATATGATTTCCTCATGTTCAATTCTGAACGTAAACTTTCTATGGATTTTTTGTAACCTGGATATCTTTTAACAGCATAGAAGGAAAGCATCTCTCTAGTAGTTTTAACAACATATATAAACAAGAAAAACCTTTATGTGCACTTTCCCAACAGGATGTAACCACTGGCAATGCATATCTGCATATAAAACTTTCGAAATGCCAGAAATGTATTTTTATAGGACAAAGTCCAACCAAATTTATACCATAGGCCTATATTTGATTAAGGCTGCATGTGCTTTCCATAACAAATACATTCTTGTTCTCACATAGGAGGGAAAACATACTTTTTCATTTTTTAACGTTTTCTTTTAGGAGTAAAAAAAAAATGAATGCTCCATCTGCCTGGGGAAAAATGTTTTTTAAACACAATGACACCGCAAATGAAAGCAAATTACAGAAATCATTAAATCAGGGGAGTTTCTAACCACTTAGAAAGGAAAGGCAGCAAGCAAACTAATGCTCTATCTGAACCACAGGGCTGAATTGCACTGTGGATAAATCAAGAACTTGCTAGATAGTCTAGAGAAACCAGGTGTTTAAAATTCATTTCGGTCCCTTTGGGTTGACTCTTTTGTGCCTTCTCATTTCTGAGGCTGACCCTGGTCACAGGATGTGGATGTTCAATCTCAGGCTCATAATTTACACACAGAGGAAAGATGGACTGGCAAAAAAAATTCCTGGACTGCTGCATTCTGAACACATCAGCTAATAGATATAGAAAGTCCTCGACTTGTTGTGACGGCAACTGAGATCAGAATTCCCATTGCTAAGGAGGTTGTTAAGTAGTCACGCTCAATTTTATGATCTTTTTTTTTGCCGCGGTTGTTAAATGAATCACTGCCGTGAAGGGGAATCAACTGGTTGTTAAGCAAATCTGGCTTCCCCAATTGACTTCGTTTGTCGGAAGCAGTTTGGGAAGGTTGCCAGTTGTAAGTCACTTTTTTTCAGTGCCATTTGAATGGTGATTAAATGAATGGTTGTAAATTGAGGACTACTGTATCCTTTCCGGCACATCAGCACTTTTAAGTAACTTCATGAACAACATACTCTTAGACATTAACACACAGTGCTCCAGGTCAGTACTGTTGAGGCTATCCACACTTAAAAGTAATTCAACTTTGTTTCATAAAACTGCTGAAAAACCATTGCATCTCATGGGAATTCTTTATTCTTACATAAGATTTACAGGCAAGAAGGTTTAAGACTTTTGGCTGAGACTACTGAAATGTAATATTATCTGATGAACTTCAAAGATCTCAGTCTTTAAAAAAAATGGGTGTACCTGCATGGTGGCATTGTGGAATATCTTGGGTGTCTTAAAAAGTCACAGGGTTTCTGCTCTATGCATCCAATCAAATAAATTCCTTTCTTAAAGATAAATGGAGCCTACCGCTTGGAATCAAATCTTTCTAAACTGGTTAACTATCATATAAATATTCCAGCTATGTAAATAAATTAATAATGAGGTTTAAGGTAGTATGCTTTCCACATAACAACTATTAATGCTAACTGTATATCAGCAACAGAGAGACAGTTTGATCTAGTGGTTAAAGCACCAGGTTAGAAAATTAAGAGTTCTAGTCCTGCCTTAGTTAGCTGGATGATTTTGAGCCAATCATTCACTCTCAGCCCTACTTACCTCACAGGGCTGTTACGGGGAAAATAAGAGAGGGAAGGTGTGTTGAATATGTTTGGCAACTTGAGTTGAGAGAGATTTAGGCTTTTAAAAAAATCAGAAGCAAATGCATTATGAACACCTTCATTTAAGATATCATTTGAGCGACTACTAATATATATATTAATTATGTGGAGATCCTACATTTGTCAACCAAAAAGATATAAAGAGGGAAAAATCTGCCCTAAAAAACATCAGAAGGAGAAATATTTAAACAAATATTCTTTCTGCTTTCCTTCTCAGAAATATAGGTTTAAATGGAGATCTTTGCCAAGATAACTGAATTTGAAGTTCTTCCTTGCCTCCAGAGAATTCTAGATCTAGAATAGCCATCTAGAATTCTCTGGAGGCAAGGAAGGATCCAAATATTTTAAAAATATAATCAATTTGGATGAGATCAGAGTTGCATCCAAGCGGTAGAATATAAATAACATGCTATCAAACTGTCTCTTTCTTAGAGGGTTCTCTGGAGTAAGAAAAAAGATGTAAAGAACTTCAGAAAACACTGGACAGTTATAAATGGAAGATAGGATTGTAAGAAACCTCTGTAAATTTTTTGGGAATAAGGAGAGGCAAATGCATAGTAGAAAACTAATCATGAAACAAAGCCCACTTATATATATGTTAAATATAAAAAAATCTAATCTAATCGGGAACTGACAAAAGTCCATTGCATTCTTATATCTAACTTGCCCTAGCCTGAATAATCTTTAAAGATTTTCTGAGTGTCGTGTAGACACCTTAATCTAGAGTTAGAAAGTCAGAAAAGCTGTTCCAGAGCGATCTAATTCTTCCAATTTGCTAACAATTTTAACACTTGTCTTAGTTGTTGTAAAACAGATACTTTTAGGATGCAACCATCTATCTCTCATTTCTGCCAAGAGTAGCATGGACCAATTTTACGAAGCACTCTGTACTGTAGAGCAGAAACTCTCTACACAAACTGCATGTAAATAATGGTATATTTCTAAAATGGTAGAACTGGATCAATTTTGCTTACATATTTCAAAAACTCCTTCTTGATGTTTTAAAATACTTTCTGAATCAATTGCAAATGAGGTGAACAGCTGAACTGGAAATTCTTTCCATTAAGGGCCAGTGTTCTATTCAGTGTATACAGTATGGCAAAATTTAAAATAATATTTTTCCTCCATTCTAAAAATATAACGATCTTGAGCAGAACTAAACCTGTTTTTTTTTACAGTTTCCCCAATATGTTCCAACAATTGGGGCCTGGGGATTTTGTAAACTATAGTCCATCATATCTGGAGGACCTCAAATTAGGAATGAATGTCCTAGAGATTTTAAACAACTAAGATGTAACTCAACCAATTATCTGCTCCTGTAGAACCATCTCTAACACATCCATTAGTATGACAGCCAAAATAATGTGTTTTGAAAAAAAATGCCATTAGACATTATAAAAAAGAATGCATGAAAATAAAGAAAAATCAAAATGTGGTGAGTACGTGTGTGTGTGTGTGTGTGTGTGTGTGTGTAATAATGATAAAATTAGTATTTTATTACCTCTTGTTGTACTGCACAGCTTCTCCATTCTTCGCCCAAGTAATGATAGGCCTTGGATTTCCAACAGATTCACAGTGAAGAAGTACGCTTAATGTCCCACTGGCTAGAACCACAGTGTGTCCCAAATGGGTCACAACTTCGGATGCAGATAGTTGTTGTGCTGCAGAGATCTTCTTCAAGATGGCAGGTTTCTTGTGAGGCCCACGTGAACCATTTATGAGTTCTAGAGATGTGGACAAGTGGGCTTCAGAGGAAGACGTTCTCAACAATCTGTTAAACTCAGAAAAATGCTTAGTGAATGGAAACTCCACTGAAGCGGAACTGACTCGCCTTCCCTGGGTTTTGAAAAAAGACTCCTGATTTTCCAAATGGCTCTTGAAAATTTCATGGGCCAGCTGGGAGATAAGCTGCTTGCTATAGACATCCTTAAGTTCCTCTGGCTGTTGAGACAAATTTTTTAAGATGTCATCTAAACGATCCTGATTGGCGACCATGGTGAAAGGCAGGTTGTAATCCTGACCCTGGTCTTCCTCCGAAGAAATATTTCTCTCTGTTGAGTCCTGAGCTTCCCATGGCTCTATACTAACCCGAGGCCAGCCTCTGTATTCCAGAAGCCTTGAGACAATGTCATCATACCGGTGGCTAGGATCAGAGGCAAGTCCTCGTTTTTCAGTTTTGCTTCCATTGGAGAAAATTTTATTCTGATGCTTCTCCTGGCCATGCAAAGCTTCATTCAGACTGACCTTCCTTGAGGATTCTTCATCTTTTATCCTAGATGACAAGGTGGCAGTACATTTGCTGTGGCCTCCTATGAGTTTAATCACAAAATGTTCCTGAGCTGGTCCTGCTGTGCAAGTATATGTACCGGTATCTGAGGGCTTTAATCGATGGATTTTCATGTAGCCATAGGGCGCGATGGTAACGTGAACAGAGCTGATGAGTCGTTTGCCATCTTTCTCCCACATGATCATTGGTTTCCGGAATCGTCTCACGGGACATCGAAGAATGACAGAAGTCTTGGGCAACAAGTAGGCGTATCCACCAACAACAAAATGCAACTTCTTTTGCTTTCTTGTCTGGATAAAAACTTTCTTTTGAGCCAGTATCAAAGGGGATTGCTTTTGAGCTGGTCTCTGGTCTCCTGAAATGTTAGTAACATTATTAGGATATGGTGCCACATCACATTTGCACGTTCAACCTAATTAACTAAAGGAGACTAAAGGACTAAAGATTTTTTTTCCCCCTTTCCATTAATGCTTCTGTGCTGTGCCCATGTATGTGTTTCCTGCAGGGATTCCATATCACTGATGGGTGATGCCTATGGGGGTGTAGCACGACACCCCACCATATGGTCTGCAATGTAGGACGTTTAATGGGGAGGTAACTGCAGAAAAGTTGAGCCTGGGATGTCATTTGCAGGGGCATCTGCAGAGGGGCCATAAAATGAAGCTTCCAACTCACCAAACCAAACAAACATCTTTCTTTTGGAACTAAGTGAAATTTCACTTCTGATAATTTACTGAAAATAAGAGATTTATTCAACCAATGCTGAGGCCTCACTCTTCAGAAGCAACCTGAGCTAAATAAATTTGATCCCTTTTGGGTTCAAATGTAGAATCAGCAGTCAGACTTAATTAAAGGAAAAGGAAAAAAAAAACTAGCTCTTGTTGTTAAAAGTCTTTAAAGGGAAGAGCCAATATAACATAAAGAGCGTACAACATAAATGCAGAACTCCTCTTGTTAAATCATTCCAACCCTTAGGCCACACAGGTGGAAACGGAAGGACAATGGAACAAATGAAGTACAATCTCAAGGGAGTAATCCGAGGGGTCCTTGGTGCTCTCTGAGCTTGGCTGTTTTCTTTTAGACATTTCATTACCCAAACTAGGTAACATTATAAAACATCTTCAAGAAAACAACCAAGTTCAGAGAGCACCAAGGACCCCACAGTTCAACCCTGAGCTATAAAAATTCCCTTCTATTGGAGTAATATGAAGAAAGAACAAAATCAACTTAGGGCAAGCTGAGGATCCCACGATGGATAATATCAACACTTCATCGATTATACAGAGATCCTGAGTATACAGCTCTCTTCCGGACAACTGACTCTGAGGGTATATCATGGAAGTAAAAACAACTATTTCTCGCCACAGAGTAAGTTTAACATTAAACATTTTATAATGCAACCAACCTTAATTGTTGATAAAAAAAACATTTCATATGAAGTTTTAGGATGCTTTCTCACCAAGTTGCTTTTTTTCTCACAATAGTTTCCAAAGTAGACTACTTATTACATATATGATCTGGGCTATTCTGTTTGCATGCAAAAGCACAGCCCACCCCTCAAAAAAAATTTAATGGACATCAATAAATTTTCAGAACAGCACAGATTTAAGTATTCATTACAGAGAAAATAGAGATAGATCTCCCTATAAAGAGAGCAGAGACCGCCAGAAAAACAATCACCACTTTTTTTCCTCTTAAATAATGTGTACACTCAGTAGCAAACTATTAATCTAATCACCCTAAGCCTCTAATTATTTCAAATTCATATCTTCAAATACGGATATTCAAGATTGGATTCATTTCAAAGTTGCTTTCAAAATTACTCTCAATTCATAATCAAACTCTCATTTAAGATGAGAGAAGGAGGCAATGCATGGAGAACAATCATATGAATTATTGGGAATGTGCAACACTTCAGATGTCAAGTCAAAAAAGTGCTTTGGGCATGGATACACACTTTTTTTTAAGTGCCTCCTTAAGAAGGCTGCATCATTTTCTAGACTTGTGCTGTAGCCTCCTGATCCCAGAGAAATGCATGCTTGATTTAAGGTAATGCTAATAATGCCTATTCCAAAGCGCCTTGCACTGCATATCCATATTAATTATAATATTTAAATTAAATCAAATTTCTGTGCTGTTCTGCTTTCATCTACTTCCTTGACTTGACCTTTCCCATGTTTTGGACTGCAGGCATTCAGCTGAAAGAGAGTGAGTACCCATGATTTAAATGAATGTATAAATCACATTACTCTGGCACTGTCCTGCTATTAATGTTAATAATTACAGCATTATGTTATACTTCTCCAAACTATGCCGCTCTAAATGTTTTGCTTTGAATTTCCTTAGCCTCCATGTATTTTCTTTGGCCAGGAAATTGTCCCAATCTTCCCAGTTCTCTTCCAGATCTTCTTCTATACTCACTTGCACAAGTCATGAGCACACATGGCCTGACCAAGGAGGAGAGTGGCAGAGATGGGCACAGTGATGAGTTCTCAATGGCAGAAAGTCCAGTATTCAGCATTTTCCTACAAATGGCATTTCGTGTCTGGGTTCCCTCTCCACAGCTAACAGAACACTGGGAACAGAACAACAACTGCTTAGGAATTATTAAATGTTAATTAGTTACTACCTGTTAACCCTGGAGTTAACTCTGGCTCAACCCCAACCCAACCCAATGCTTGGGGGATGAGCCAGATTTTCATGACCCTCCGGAAGGCTAAAAAGGTAGGGATTTCCTTGGATCTCAGATGGGAAGTGTTCCAAGCAGCTGGAACGTCACCAAGAGGGTGTATCTGTGGTAGAATATAGTCTGGATTCTCAGGAAGAAGGGGCTGCATTCCCCCAAAGGTCTCATCAGGTGGCAAGAGAGTGGACCTGGAGTGTACCCACCCTAAGTAGTAGGGTAGGCTGATACCCTCGAGGAAGTGCAATCAGCAAGTAATTTGGTCCTGGGCTATGTAGGTCTTTAAAGGTGATAACCAGCATCTTAACTTGCACCCAACTAGAAGCTAGTGTACCTCACGCAGCAGTGACTCAGATAACTGTGGGGCACCTAAAACTGTGTGTACCACTGCATTCTGGATCAGTCAGAAACAGTGTAAATGTAGGGAGTTATCCTGGACTCAGAACTCCTCCTCACAGTGGCGGCACTGGTGGTTAGGAGGGCTTTTATAGAACTCCAGCTTGTATACCAATTGTACACGAAGCTGAAGCATCAAATACTCTTTACATCTTAGTTACTACCAGATGGCCTATTGCAATGCATTCTTCAGGAGGCCGCCCTTAAATAATGCACAGTACAAGTGGTTATAGGTCACAATGGGCCATATACTGTGTGAAATGCACGAACTCTCGGTATTATAGGCTGCCAGGTGCTATTCAAGGTACTGGTTATGATTATAAAGCCCAGTATAGCACAGGACTGAATTATTTGCCAGACCACCTATGTGTGATCTTTGATGCTCTCTAAGCTTGGTTGTTTTCTTGCAGGTGTTTCATTACCCAAACTAGGAAACATCATCAGTGCACTAATGATGCACTGATGATGTTATCAAGTTTGGGTAATTAAACATCTGCAAGAAAACAACTACACTCAAAGAGCATCAAGGGACACTCCCCCCCCCATTTCAACTCTGAGCTGCAAATATTCTCCTTTATTGGACCACATGTCTACCCACATGCTATAACATGCTCCAAGCCCCTTCCCTGGAGCAATGTCATCTGATGGGACTTAAAATAAGCGTCTTCTTAGTTGCAGCACCTACCCCCATCTCCCCAAATCAATTGTCCCCAACCCTGCTAGTCTTTAGGAAAGCTTCAGAAGTTTGTTTTCCCTCAGGCATTAGGCCAGGCTGATGCACTAGATGAGCCTGTCTTTGGGAGGTAGATTCTGTGTTGATGGGCTCTGATTATATGCTTTGTTTTTGTTGATTGTATTGGTTTGAAATGTAATTTGGGGTTTTCATTTGGTTTTACTGAGTTGTGATCACACAAATTGGGTGGCCTTATAAATCTAAATAAATACAATAAATATTTAGAAGAAGAGGATCATAAACCCAGAAGTTGGAATGTGAGAAAAAGAAATGAAATATTCCCAGGTGTGGAAGAAAACAGTTTGTTATCTAAAAAATTGAGTAGCATAGATTCCAATGTATACCTTGAATGATTAAAAGCAAAATAATGAACACTGCCTGAGGAATAGACAGATGACTATTTACCTCAGAAAGAGTACATGTTCTAACAACAGATTTACCTAGATAATCTATTTATTTGGCTGGGCTGTCAAGCTAGATCATTATACATTAGTTAAGCTTGTTACATTGTGCACATCCATCCTAGTATGAATATAACGTTTTTCAACAACCAAATTAATTGCCTGCTTCTTGGACGAAGGACGAGTGGAAAGACATGAACAGGAGAAAGAGGAAAAGCCATACTTAGTTAAGGATCATAGGTCAGCAGAATATAATTCACATAAAAAGGCATGTGGATTAGATAGCAATAATATACTAGACTAATAGAAAGTCTAAATATTCTTCTGAATATTCTAAATATTCTTAATTTTGTTCTAAAGTTTGGACACACACACAAAAAATGCAATGTTCAGTCAGATTGGCAGAGCACTCCCCCAGCCTTAATATTCTTACATTGATCATGGATTTCTAATGATGTTCCAGCAAATATTCCTTGGAATTTTATCAGGGGCAGTCATAGTTGAAAGATCAATGATAACAGAAATGTCTGACTCACTAATCCATTGAAATTTAATATAGCACAGTGGTTCTCAACCTTTTTAATGCCGCGACCCCCAACCGGTCGTAAGTCGAGGACTACTCAACCGGTCGTAAGTCGAGGACTACTCAACTGGTGCAGCACCGTTTGCAGAATGGGACTTTTGGCGGGCTCAGCAGGGCAGAGACAGCCTGGACAATTCCTATTGGCTTTTGAAAGCCAATAGAATTAGACTCTATTCAAGAGAGTCTATTCTATTGGCTTTCAAAAGCCAATAGAATAAAAGGGAGTAGCACAGCTAAGGAAAAGGGGGGAAAATGGCAGACTGCGTTGTTTGGCGACCCCCGTGAAATGGTCGTTCGGCCCAAAATGGGGTCCCAACCCACAGGTTGAGAACCACTGAAATAGCAGAAGCATTGAAGCTATTCTAGATGGTGTTCTTCCTTAGTGCAGTAGAACAGTGAGGTTTACTAAATTTAGTCTAGCATGAAAACCCTATTGTGACAATCTGTGTAACTTTTTTTTATTGTTAGTCTTCTCAAGTTTTATAATACAGAAGTAATTTTAAATAGTAACAAAATGCCTAATGGCTTAATTTTTTGACTGTGGATCCTATGGTTACATGGATTCAGAGGGGTTGTTTATGTTTGCTATTTACCAACTGCAGTCCAAATTCTGGAAAACTCTCAGAGTGATGTCTAACATTGGTTTCCATATGTGGCCTATTTTACAGATTCATTACACTACAGCCTTATTAGTAATAATATTACCTGGCATAAACGGGTCAGCCCCAAAGAGTTTAAATCCAACAATAAGAAAAAAAATCTATTCTCAATTATAAATAAACAGCTGTCTTTATACCTGTCATAAATCTACTCTAGAGATTACAAGACTTTAGTGAGAAATATTACTTTAACAAAATTATAATATCAATAAATAATATTTAGGTCGAGCAAAGAGAAGCTTTGGTGTACAAAAAGTCCAGATTCTATTTGTACTGCTACTTCATACCTGTGTCCAATCTGAGAGAAGCCATTCGGGGGGACAGTCCTTATTTTTGCAGGCTTGTTGAGAAGTTGGCCGTGAAGCGGAACAAAAAGTTTCTGGAAGTTCCAGAAAGCTTCCATCAGCCATGCGCTGTTTGCAGAGCACTTCCCGTCTCTCAATGCCACCTCCGCATGTCTGTGAACACTGGAGAACATTTGCAGCTTATGAAAATTACGAGCTTGAGAACATGAGCAGCAAGGGGCTTCCACCAATTGATTGGTATCTCATGGAAGTTAATGGGTTTCTCCAAGCTGCATGTGGAAGAGCACGCCTTATGATAGAAATACTAATGAAAACAATTAGGGGATTGGTACAAGGAAAGGGACTTTTAAAAAGTGTTTGGGGGCAGGTTTTTAATATGTATTCCATATTTTATAAAGGCCTTCCTGTTTGATAATAAAACAAAGGCTGAAAAAGATGTAATAGTAGAAACACTTTTGGGGCACTTTCTGTTAAAGAGATGCTATATCCATTTTCTTTTGGAAAGAAGGCAAAGGGAAAGAGATAAAATAATGGCTGAAAACAAGATTGGCTTTCCAATTTAAAAAAAAAAATGTTTCTAATTAAAACCACAGACTTGAACAGCCTGTAAAGTGTTTCCAGGGGCCAGTGATCTGTAGTATTTGTGCATATATGCGTGCGTGTGCATTGCAGTGTCTGTCTTTTTTCCATGTTTGTTGTGACAGCATGCACCTTCCCAAAGGGATGGAATGTGTACAGTAGTTCAACGCTGTTTCCTTATTCTGCTAAAAGCAGCAAGATGTTGTGGATTACACTGACAAAAACTCTCCTGCCCGAACATTAAAACTTTAGAACTTTTAGACAGACTTTCTTTGAAAGAATTCAAAGGCCTCACTAATATTTCTAGATAAAATAATCAGTAGATAAAAGTGGATGTAAGATAGGAATTTGCTGGATGGGTTTTTTTTTTTTATCAAATCAGCAAAAAGAACCAAATAGGGCTTTACCTGAGGGCAGTGGGCCAGGAATCAAAGCATAAATGGAATTTATAATTCTAAGATTAGTATTCCTCCCATTTCCAGCCACTAGCAGATAAAGGTAGGGGTTTCCCTTGGGAACTGGAATTTACCTGTTGCCATTCTTGAAGGTACCAAGATGGAGGACAGTCAAAACGGTTGCAGGCTTGTACCCCAGTAGGCTTGGGTCTGTGACACAGCTTATCCTCCAAAGTCACTGTCTCATTAGTCTCTCTTGAGAGGAGATGAGTGCAGAAGACCTCGCGGATTTGCAATCCTACACCGCAAGTGAGACTGCAAGAGCTCCATTTTCCCATCTCCCACCTGAAAAGAAAGCCAAGAAAAAGATTCTGAAGGGAAACAAAAGATTCCCATAATTATGCAAAAAATATTTCTGGTTTGATTCTGATTCTGTGCAAAAAACAAAAGCAAAAACACTAGGTTGAATCCAGCTTAAAATTGTATCCTCCGTATTTCTTATCTAGTAGTAAATCCTGTGGATGTCACTTGGGAATCATGTTCAAGTAATTTACTCTGGATCCAGAATTTAAAATACATTAATAGGTCTACTTACTTGGATTTCAAGCTCATTTCACTTTACCGTTGTGTTTTATACAGGTAGTCCTCGACTTATGACCACAATTGAGCCCCAAATTTCTGTGGTTAAGTAACACATTTGTTAAGTGAGTTTTGCCCCATTTTACCACCTTTCTTGTCTTTGTTGTTAAGTGAATCACTGTAGTTGATAAGTTAGTAATACGATTGTTAAGTGAATCTGGCTTCCCCATTGACTTTGCTTGTCAGGTCGCAAAAATGACAGAACAAAGGTTAATTATGTTTTTAATTTAAACGTAACTCATATAGTTACGGCTTCCCCATCAAGTATTTAATTATTTTGGTCTTTTGCCACATTAACAGTGACAATTACATCAGGTGGAAAACTTTGTTTTCTCCGCCAAGTCCGCAATATTTATTCGATGACACTCTTACAAGAAAAAAGTTTATTCTCACTGGCCTGTGTCAGAATGTTCTGCATATTCTGTATCACATTTTTGGAAATGTTTAGATTTTCCTATCCCCATCAGCAGAGATCTACTAAAGCAATGGTTCTCAACCTGTGGGTCGGGATCCCATTTGGGGTCGAACGACCATTTCATGGGGGTCGCCAAACAACGCAGTCCGCCATTTTTTCCCCCTTTTCCTTAGCTGTGCTACTCCCTTTTATTCTATTGGCTTTTGAAAGCCAATAGAATAGACTCTCTTGAATAGAGTCTAATTCTATTGGCTTTCAAAAGCCAATAGGAATTGTCCAGGCTGTCTCTGCCCTGCTGAGCCCACCAAAAGTCCCATTCTGCAAACAGTGCTGCACCAGTTGAGTAGTCCTCGATTACAACCGGTTGGGGGTCGCGGCATTAAAAAGGTTGAGAACCACTGTACTAAAGCAAAGGGTTATCTCCCACAATTTTGTAAAACATACTGTACTGAGATATAACTTGATGATCAAATAGGATTCCAGTGGTTTGCAAATAACTCTGGGAAGAGTCTAGAACAGACATGTCAAACTCGTGACGTCACATGACATCGTGCAAAGTATTGGGACAGTTTTGCCATTGCCGGCAATGGGGTGGGCGTGGCTTCCGCATGATGCATCCGGTCCGCGGGCCAGCAGTTTGACACCCTTGGTGTAGAAAATAAAGGATATCCTATATTAATGGACAATGCAGCTGTTCAAAAAGCATTCCATCAATATTATTCCAATTTGTACGAAGGAAGTGACATCTCTCTAGAGGAGGAGTTCCCAACCACCAGGCTCTGGCCCAGTACCGGGCCATGGAAATGGTGGGCAAGCATGTGCGTGAGCAGTTCCATTTATGCAAGTGGCGGACACATGAGCCTGCCGCTTGTGCAAATGGAGCTGCACGCCTGCATGCTCGGCCATGTGGAACAATCCCCTCCCCACCCAGTCTGCAAAACCGGAAAGGGTGGGGACCACTGCTCTAGAGAAAACCAATAAAGAAACAAATTTAGAAGATGAATGGTTTGCTGAAACTTTTTAAGTAGGAGGGTATTAATAGACTTTCTTAGGGGTAAAAAGCAAAGAGCCAATTTTATCGAACGTAAGTTTGTTGGTTAGGTTATATCGGAGGGAAAATTTTGTGTTTATTATGGACGAATGGTTGCTTAAAAGAAATATACACCTCAGCGAGGTGAAGATGGATAAATTATATGTAGAGTAAATATGGGTTATGGTATGGGTTTAAAATGCATTATGCAGATTATGAATTATTTATAGTTTTTAATTTGGAAATGCTTATATTGTTAATTTTTTTCCTTTTTTGTATTTGAGTTAAAGTATATTATTGATTTTATTATTTGTATAGTTGGATAAGTTTATTTAGAATTTGTTTGTTTATTTGTAATCCTGTAACCAGCTCTGGGAAGTGGGGGGGGGGAGGGAGGGGGTTATTTTAGGGGGGATGTTGTTTAAAACTTGTATAAAACTTTTCAATTAAAAAAAAGAAACAAATTTACTGAGAATTACAGAGTAACAAAAACAGAGCAGAACCATATGAATAGAACTATAAAAATAAAATTTCTAAAAATATAAATTTGATATCTGATTATGATTAAATAACAAGTTCTTATTTCTGGTGCTGCTTAATGGTTATCTGGATTGGATAATTTTTCTTTTGGAAAGGTATAATTGTGTAACGAATTATTTTTTGACATCTAAATAAGGAGTTATGATTTCTGGTGATGTTTAATAGTTTTTAATTCTTTTTTTGGCAATGTTTAATTGTTAAGATGGAGGAGAGGAGCTTAAACTAAATGGGAAAGGAAATTATATATTTAGGCTATTAAGTATTTTTTGATAATTTTTACTGGATCTTTGCTAATTAATAAGGACAGCTGAAGATTTAGAAATGAGTTTATAAAAATGGGGTGAGACATGTAATGAAGCAGTATTTGGTTGTATTTTAAGATAAAGTAATAACTTGTTAATACTGAATATATTTGTTGGGAATGAAAGACGTTTTTTCTTATATTTTCTTTGTCTTTCTGGTTTTTGGAAGGGAGGTCTATACTTTCTAAACATTTTTTTCTTTTTTATGTATTTTTGTACCAAGTTTTTGTATTTGTCTTATCTCTTTAATATAGTCCTTAATAAAAATATTATTAAAAATACCCCAATAAACTATGTTTCTGAAGCTATAAAAAAGATTAAACTGGGAAAGGCGCCTGGATCAGATAGATTATCAGGTTCTTATTATAAATATTTTGAGGATGAACTATTACAACCTTTACAAAACATGATGAACTCTATTCTACAGGGAGGAAAAATGCCAGAGAATTGGAAAGAGGCTAGTAAAGCATTAATACCCAAAGAGGGACAAGATTCAACTTTAACAAGAAATTATAGGCCAATACAATTATTAAATAATGACTACAAGTTGTTCGTAATGATTCTAGCTCAGGGCTTTTCAACCTTTTCACCGATTGTACTACTTTTAGAATATGGCAACATCTGAGTACCACCAGTCACCTAGCGAGGTGTCAAAAACTTGACCCCCCCAAAAAATTGGAAAAAAGTGATAAAGTACAGGTAGTCCTTGACTTACAACAGTTTGCTTAGTGACTGTTCAAAGTTACAACGGCACTGAAAAAATGACTTATGACCATTTTTCACACTTGCAATATCCCCAGAGTCATGTGATTTACATTTCAATGCTTGGCAACTATTCCTATTTATGATGATCACATTGTTCCAGGGTCATGTGATCGCCTTTTGCAACCTTCTGACAAGCAAAGTTAGTGGGGGAAACCAGATTCACTTAACAGCCATGTTACTAATTTAATCTCTCTCTCCCTCTTTCTCTCTCCCTCTGTCTCCCTCTTTCTTTCTCTCTCTCCCTCTTTCTCTCTCCCCCTTTTTCTCTCCCTCTCTCTCTCCCTTTCTTTCTCTCTCTCCTTTCTTTCTCTCTCCCTCTCTCTCCCTTTCTTTTTCTCTCTCCCTCTCTCTCTTTCTCTCTCTCCCTCTCTTTCTTTCTCTCCCTCTCTTTCTCTCTCTCCCTATCTCTCCCTCTGTATTTCTCTCTCCCTCTGTATTTTTCTCTCTCTGTATTTCTCTCTCCCTTTCTTTCTCCCTCTGTCTTTCTCTCCCTCCCTCTCTCCTTTCCTCTCTCTCCCTCTCTCTTTCTCTCTCTTTCTCCCTCTCTTTCTCTTTCTCTCTCCCTCTGTCTTTCCCTCTCTCTTTCTCTCTCTCCCTCTCTTTCTTCCTCTCTCTTTCTCTCTCTTTCTCCCTCCCTCTCTTCCTCCCTCCCTCCCTCTCTCTCTCTCCGATTGGGGATTGATTTGGAGGCGTAGAGGGGAGGGGAGCGGCTGAGGGCTGCCCGTGTGACTTTGAAGTGGCCACCTTTGGAAGCACTAACACTACTCCAGCCAGGCTCGAGCCGGGCAGAGTGGGCAATGGGAGAGGAGCAGGTTGATCACTTTACCAGCAGCCGGGACTCCGGCGCGCCTTCTGGCCAGTGGGGCCTACAGTATCAGGAGCCCCGTGAGGGGGCAAGCCAGCATGAAGAGCCAAATCCTTTCTGCGAGGGAGAGACGCGTTGAGGGAGCCAGCCAATCATGGGATGTAAATTCTGACGGACGGCTGACCTGAGCCAATGAGGCGCCAGAGGACTGGGAGCCATAGTTGAAGGCTGAAACACCTTCAGCTGTAACTGCTCGCACGTCTTTGTGTATGTGGGAGTGTGCTGGCCAGATCAATGTTGATTATCAGGTTATAGGCACTTCTTCAGGGCTCAGCAGATGTGCTGGGATCAATGCCACTTTCCAGGAGATTGGTGCTTCTTCGGGGCTCAGGAGAAGCACCAAGATCAGCTCCGGAAGAAGCGCCAATCAGGCAGAAAGGGGAGCTGATCCTGGCGTTTCCCCTGAGCTCTCCCGGCCTCGGAGAAGCGCCGATCAGGCGGAAAGGAGCGCTGATCCTAGCACTTCCCCTGAACCCTCATGGCCTCAGAGAAGCACTGATCATACGGAAAGGGGTGCTAATCCTGGCGCTTCCTCTGAGCTCTCACAGCCGCTTCACCTCATCCACTTTTCTTTTTTAAAAAACTTTTTTTAAAACTTTTTTTTTACATTTTTTTCAACCAGTCCTATGCGTGCCACCGGTTGCAAAGCCCTGTTCTAGCTGACAGAACGAAAACAATTTTTCATGAGGATCAATCTGGGTTCTTACCTAAAAGATAGTTAAAACACAATGTTAGAAATGTGTTGGACATTTTGGAATATTTGGAGAAATGTAAGAAAAAGCAACAAGC